GTAACCTATGTTCAAATATTCTTCATAATCTTATCAAACTACAAACAAAGAGGTGGAAACATACTCTGCCTCAGCTTTTACCGTGGAGGAGGAAACTACAGTAACACCGCCAGGCCTCTGTTTACGTGCGTACATTTAAAGCTGCGGATGACTGATATAAAGGAAGCAGGCCGAGGTTACTCTGCCAAACTGCTCTGCAGAACATTTGTGAAAGCATCTAGCCAAACTTGAAACTCAGAAACAGTTCAGAGAACAGAGGGGAAAATGTGTGTAAACAAGAAATACCGACCAAATGAGGAATACCAGAGTCCAGAGTCCTTCACTGATAGGAGCTGGACTCAAAATGAACCGAAGTCAGTCTGTTTTACTACATCATTTTTAATTCAGCTGACATTGAACACATCAGCTCCAACCTTAAAAGTAATTCAAAAGCTTTCAAATCCAAATTAGTTCCCCGTATATTTACATTATTATCCTAAAATCTACAGCAGAACATGTAAAACACGAGAGAAAAGGATTATATCACAAAATATTCAAGTTTATATCATCGTCATGATACTTAATGACACATTTCTATCAGCACAAACCTCTGCATAAGCAGGAGTATTGTAATAAACTATTAATATGCATAGTTTTTCCACTTAAAATAAAAAATATTGTACATTAGATTCAAACGCCGGTGCATAAATTACCTATGCACACTTCAACTTCCTCATCTGTGCTACCGATTCCTAGTTCCCTTTATTTTTGTTTGGCATAAATAAAAATAAATATAGAAGTTGTTCTGAATAAAAATATTTCTGTTGAATGACAGTCTAATTTAACAGGTATTTAAATACACTGACTGAACGTTTCAGAATCTGCCTCCTGCAGACTTGAAAACTTTTTTTTGTCAGAGTTAATTAAAATGTCAAAAACAAAGCGAGATAAGCAGGTTTATATGTAGGTGAGACTTTTGAAGCTTTTAGTTTCAGTTACTGATACAAGAAAATCTAAGCTGGTGCTGTTTTAATTGATGGCCTAGAAGTAATGAAATTCCAAATCATAAATTATCTTTCCACATTCCAACTTTCTCATCTGTGCTATTGCTACCCAGCTCTGCGACTTAAATTGTCACGTATAATTTAAAAGAAAAAAAAAACTAGGAGGTGTTTTTAGTAAAAGTATTTCTACGTATAATTGACCGACAGTCTAATATAATGGAAAACTGAACTTTTAAATTGTCAAATCATGTTTTTCATTATATTAGTCTGTCAGATGGTGACTGGCCGTTTCAGGATCTCCCTCCTGCAGACTTTCAACATATTTTTTTTGTTAAAAGCTAATTAAATTGTCTCAAATAAAGCCCCAGAAGTAATCATTGCCGGATCCAATTTTTGTTCCCTGTATTGATGCAATAAAAACTTGGCTGGTGCTTTTATAGTCAATAATCAAAATCTATTAAGCTCAATGCAATTTTAAAATTTAGAGCACTGACTTGTGTTATTTTCTGCACAGAGTTATAGCTTTTTTATTTTTTTAAATCATGTCCTAGATATGTATTTGTGATTCGTTATAGTCTGTGTGCAATTATAAGGATCTTATTCTAAAACCTAATATTTAATATTTAATTATTAATATTAAACCATCTTCTGACTTCAGGAATTTGTACAAAGTGTAGCTTCTGTGAAATCAACATCAGACCTTCTACATGTAAAACTTGCTTTCTTACTAGAACTGGCAGGTTATTGCAGTAAAAACAGCAGGACTTTCTGCCTTTTCTTCTTAAACTGAAATAACTGCTTTATTGGTTGTTTTTAATCTAACAGACTCAATCTGATATATTCTGCAGTCGCAGCTCAATATTGAAATATTTAGAGATTAAATTCATTAGGGAGGATAAAATTGACACAGTTCAAACACCAAAAATACCTCAATGTGTGTTAAGATAACGTCAATGTTGTTCAAGGTCTGCTCTCCGGAGTTCAGCCAATCAGCAACAAGGAAAATAAACGGCGCTCCTTCATTGGCTGCTTGCAAATACATCTCAAATAGCTTTGCGGCGAGATATTTAAGTTTTCTAAAGAACATTTCCTATAAAATACTTTATGTGTGCTCTTCAAAAGAACAAAAATTTTCCACAAATAATTTGGAAATACGTTGCACAGAAACATCTGAGAATAGTCAGTGATCCACTGTAACAGCATTTAAAAAATTTAACGCATATAACATCATCGTCATTATGCCTTTACTCCAGACACAAACTGGTCCATAATAAAAAGATAAAAGCAAAATAAGAAGTACAAAACAAAACAATACAAGATAAAAATAAACGACACATAATATTCACTGAGTCACCCATAAATGATGACGCCACAACCTTAAGGAAAATCTCACTGTACTCGGTGCAGGGCTCACTAAAATTGAAATTATATTATAAACAGTCCCACTAAACTCTTAGCGGTTTGAACTGATTTTGTACAACATTTACAAAATATTTGGTGAAATCCTCTCCCACTGATTTACCCAAAATCCAAAGGAAACCTGTGGTTTTCTCATCCACTTAGAGGTTAGTTTGAACTCCTATCTAAAAAGCTCCATTATTTTTTGTTACTTAAATCATTGACCAGAGCATGCAGGACATTACTCATGTTTCAGACCATTGTTGTGTCGCTGTAAGGAACCGTTACTTGGCTTGTTTACATCCTTGGCACTTCCTGTTCAACAACTCAGACAATGAGAATGTAGACAGATTAAAAACATTTAAATCTCTGAAAGTTTAAGTAGCACAGATTTCCCTCCAAACTGCTTTCTCTGTGCTATTTGCATTTGGCTACTACTTCAATATTTGCAATAATCAACAAGGCTTGCAGAAAGTCAGTATAGCGTACAACATTCATTAAAAGAAGGAAAAGCTGAACTCGCATCAATCGATAAATCACTGAGTGGATTTTGAGTGTCTTTGCTTTCTTGAGAAAACAATCAGACTGAGACTGCTTCTATTTTTCCAGATTAACTACATTCTTCTCAGGCTCTGAATAGAAAATTACTTTATTATGAAAGAGTTGCAACCTGTGGAAGCAAAATAAACGCAGCTCAATTACTTTCCTCTCCTCCCTCCATCAGCGCAGCATTCAGTCCCTATAATGAACCGACTGCTGCTTCTTCTCTATTCTCTGCTTGTCCTTGCCAAAACGATTTGGAAACAGACAAGTGATTTTTAACTGGAGTGTCAGTCTGCCTATACACTGTTATTCCTTCTGTTAGGCAGCCCAGCTGCAGCGCTGCCTATGTTAGGGAAAAGTCAGACAATCACAGGATGAATGCAACCCATCAGCATATTGCTCCATTTGAATTGAGACATGGGATGTCCTACATGGTGTAAATAAAACAAAAAAATCTAAAGAATATGTCTCTTTAAAGTTAAATGATCCTGCTAAGCTCAAGGTTTCCCCAAGAAAACCTGCTAAGCCTGTTGGTTGGGAAATTTGGAAATATCACTTGATAATTATGTGTTATTGAAAGATTGGAGGATGAACACCAACTATAAAGTCTGAAAAAAAAAACTTAAATAAATAAGCAATGCTAAGCCTGGCAGAGCACAAGTAAAGCCTAGTGGCCCGCCAGGCTTATAATACACTGGGGAAAACCTGCTAAGCTGGCATTTTCTAACAAATATAAACTAAATTTCCCAGTAGCAAAAAGTTTAATTGAGCTCTTTGTTTAATGCATAATCGATTCAGATGACTTTGAAATGTTGTAAGTGCATCGTTAAACTGAAAATATGTTTGAACCTGGGATAAAACTGTATTTAATGTGCAGGATAATGAAGAAATGGAAATATATCATGGACATTCTGTCCTTTATGGTGACATATTAGCATTATTGTTTGAACAACATAAGATTCGACATAAAGATTAATTAAAAGTAGAAATGGTCAGGATTTATGTTAATATTGTTGTTTCTAAATGAATATCAACTTGTTTTCTTTGCATTATTTCAGGTCTGAATGCACTGCATCTTTTCTCATTTTCTGCAAATAAATAAAAATTTTTTGCTTGGAATTTCAGAGACATGTTGTCAGTAGTTCATAGAATAAAAGAACAAAGTTCATTTAATCAAACATACCTATAAAACGTAAAATCAGAGAAACTGATCATTTTAAGGAATCTATTCTTTTTTTCCCCCAGAGCTGTATATATTCTAACATTGCTTTATTACTTTAACCAACAGTTTCAGTCAAGCTGCAATTTACGTGTATTTTTATAATACATGTAAATGTTGTTTTGGGTTTTCCGTAATAATTAAGAAATACAAAAGGAACACTTGACATACAATTGCTCTGAGTGTAATAAATCAGTCAAATGAATAGGAACTAGAATTTAAAACAGATTGTGTGGATCCTACAGACTCCTGACCACAATGACATGCGCCTTGAGTCTTGAACTGCTTGTGGTCATAGCTGACACAGCACTTTCACAAAATAGTCTTCAAATCTTATTCAACATAATTACAGATTAACATAAGCAGTCATTCGTATGTAGATGAGATGATTTGAGGCAGCTAATTTACCCCAAATTAGAGGAAATCTTGATAGAAACTGAGATTTGGTGCTTTGAAGCAAATCATTCGTTTACAGACATTAGTGATTTGATCATGCGCAAATGCAGACGTAGTCTCAAGCTCTCCTGATTGTTTTTTAAATTGATTTCCTCTGTGTTTCTCAAGAACAGCCGCTGTTTGGAGTAAAGGTGAGCAGAGGAAGGTGTGGCCACCAGATAAGAAGCGCAAACTCTGATGCGAGAGACGTCGTTACTCCACAGGCTACAAACAATAATAATAAATAAAATAATAACCCGAGCTACAGTCATAAATCACTCTCCATCGGAAACCAGAGCAGAACTAAACGTAAAACAACTTATATCCTCAAACACCGGCAGACAATAACAAGCTGTCACTCAGTTCGCCGGACTCTCTGAACAAACAGGAAAAAAAAACTCGACGTTTATGGCGACGCTCACCCAAAACACGCAGGCGTAGGAGAACAAGATGAACTTGACCACCGTGTAGCCAAACCTCTGAGGGCTGCAGCGTCCAGGCATCGTCTCCGACAGCGGAGCGGAGCGGACTGAGGGGCTCAACGGCTGCCGTGTTGACAACAAACTCACTTCCGGGTTGACATCGCTGCCACACCTGCACGCGCCGCCGCTGAATGGCTGGATAAACGGCCTCAGTCTGCACCTGCATTTATTTCACTCATTTATTCACTACATCCACTGGGAAGGGGAAACTCTTTCACTAGTTCAATTGGCAGATTATTTCACTTTTTATTGGGGGAAAATGTCTCCTTTTAGGTGAAGTAATCTGACAATGGGATTAATCTAATTTTAATCAATATTAAGGAATAATTGACCTAAAACACGCTCACATCTTCATGGAAAGTTACTTGTTTTGTCTCATCTCAAGTACTAACATAGTTGCTCCAGAAACTAGGAAAAAATTATTTGTGAGAGTTTCTGTTTTTGAATGTTCTGTACATAATTCAGATTTCTTTCAATTAAATCCAAGAAGTCAAATTTACTTTTCAATAATATAACTAAACTGCACCTTCAGTTCAACCTACTAAAATGTATTTCCATTTTAGGATCCTGAATTAAAGAGGGCTGAATCCAGGCTAAAACCAGCTGGATTTAATATTATGAACGCCTAGTTTATAAGTATTTAAATATTAAAGGATATTTGTTCCTCCAAGTTGTATCTCCGGTGCTTCCTGTTTCACAGTGGGATCTCCGACTTCGGGTGTTGAAGATTTTTACGACGGCTCAGAAATGGAAGTTGGAATCTCCCATTTCTGAGTAGAACTGGAACGCATGATGGTGTCTGACCTGAGTGAGGTCCACCTTCTTTAAATCAGACACAATGGCTGTCAATCAACTCGGCTGTGTTTCTGCTGGTATAAAGCACAAACGTTTGACACCAAATTGGTTTGATTTCACAAAAGTGGAGGATCTGGTTGACTTTTTGACCTTTAACATTTCAGAAATATCTTAAAAGCCAAAGCAGCACAAACAACATTTTTTGCTGCACAAACCACCACAAACAGTCGAGTTGATTGACACCCATTTTGTTTGACTTGAAGAAAGTGGGGGGCCTAGTTGACCTTTGCTGACCTCTAGAATCATTTCTTTATATCTTTAAAATGACAGCAGCTCAAATGAAAATTTTTGCTGCACAAACGTTTTACACCAATTTTGTCTGATTTGAAGAAGGTGGTGGGGGGCAACTTCACTCAGGTTGAGGTCTGTTCTCTCTGCAGCAAGAATTTCTCCTCCACCAGATTCACCAGCGCCTGTCCGGCTTCGAAAATACATTATTAAAACATCAATAAAGACATCAACAACACATGTTTTGTGATTTGCCAACTCTTTCTTCTTTTTCTTTTGTCTCTTTGCTGATGATTTGAAGCAGGCTGTAATTGAAAAGACACAATCAAAGCACATAAATTGGGTTTTAGTAATAATAATCAATTATAATTGCATTGTTGAGGCTTTTCTTTCAAAACACTGCATCATTTTTGCATGAATCCTGCAATCCATTTGCTTTCTGTCGTTCCCTCTTTCCTGCATTTTTTTTTTTGATAAAAGGTGTGTTAATTTGTGGAAACTGCAGATAAAACAGGAAATGTTTAGTAGCGTTTCAGATATTTAAAATAATAAAAAAAACAACTAAGCAGTAATTATCAAAATAAACTGATATGAAACGTTTATGTCATGGTTTGTTTTTCAGCCGTTTCAGTTGTTGAACACACAAAACAAATCAGCAACATGGCAGCAACTCAGTGTGTTTTTGAAAATAAGTTGTCGATTAAAAGTGGCTTCACAGTGTTTCGGTTGATCCGCTGGCAGGACCAGTCCGTGACAGCTGTGTGTAAAAAGCTACTTCACTGTAAAACATTTCATTTAGTTGTGTCAACTATCTTGTACTCTTAAAGTCAAATAAATTTACGGAGTTTTAGATTTTGATTCTGAGTTGTTTTGTGAACGATAAACTTACAGTAGTAAGTTGCAAATTTTTTCATTAGGAGTTAATAAATTAGAGTTTTTGGATTAGCACTTAAAAAACTGGAAGAAGAAAAATACAGGAGTGGGAACTATTTCCCAGAATGCTTTGCGGCATGGTTTTGTATCCTGAGATGCGTTACGTTGATCTGACTCTTGTGTTTTATTAAGGCAAATGTTTATTTTCAAGTTTTAGGATGAGCTTGTTTTTGTTTTTTAGCTGAATTCATTATAATGTTTCATAAAATTCATTATCAGGTCAGAAATTTTGTTTAGGCAATTTGAAACAGTTTGAATTATTGTAAAGTAAAAGAAGTTGATAATGTAGAAATGTGGCTCTTTAACCAGGTCAGGACAGTTTTTATTTGCATATTGTGAAATAATTATTTGTTTTAAATTGCAGCATTAAGTTAAACCTCACAATTCAAGATTAATGAACTTAAAAAAAACAATGTTTAGACAACATATCTCTAGTTTAATCAGCTATAATTTCTGAGTTAAAACCAGAGTAATTTTTGTGTTGATTTAAATTGCATTTTTAAGGCAGCAGGTGGACTTTCATTTTCAATTTCAACCATCTTCTCATGTTTTACAGTGTTGTTGCTGTTAGAGTTTGATATCAAAGAAAATAAACAGTATGTAAAAGACCATCTCTAAATTCACTGCACCTTGAAGTAGCTGGGCTACAGCAGCAGAGGAGTTTATCTGCTAAAAACAGATGAACCACCATCTTGGCAAAGGCTGTCTCAGAAAAACACACTGAGTGAGTTTTGTTGCAAACTGCCAAAGCTTTCATTTCTTCTTCCCTCCATGTTGGCCTTGGCCCTGCTACTCATGTGAAAGCGCCCACATGCTGCTCATACTGTACACACACACACACACACACACACACACACACACACACACACACACACACACACACACACACACACACACACACACACACACACACACACACACACACACACACACACACACACACAGAGAGAAAAAAAGTGTAGTCAGCTTAATATTCCTTCTTCCCTTCTCGTCAGTGTCAACGCATGCACCTACTTTCACTTCTGGGAAAAAAAATAGAGCTGAGGAATTATAAAAAAGTGGCAGTTTGGTGACAATCATGGGAATAGAAAAGAGAGAAAGGAGTGAAAGCGGTTAGAGACAGGTACCATCAGACTGTTTGCTCTGCAGGACATGAAACACATGCAGAGACTGTTTGTGAGATGGCATCACTCCAGCTGCAGCACTGCGATCCACAGCCAGTTCCCATTACACCGTTATTATGTGAGCGCTCAGTATTCATAGGTTAGATTACAGCCGTCTTCAAACCCGGCTGTCATGTGGATCCCAGTTTCACTCCTGAGAGGTTTCCTCAGCTGCACCGTTGTGACACTTTGATGTTGGTAATAACTGGAGATAAAAATGCTACAGTGACAAAACATTTAGGTTTTTTTAAGTTCATGTGGTGGCACCGTAATGGCAAGGTAGCAAATGTAACATTTAAAGTATCTTGTGTCCAGATTAAAGCTGCAGTATGTAACCTTTTTGTAAAGAATATATAGTTTTGGCATATTTGTTAAAACTTGTTGTGACTGTTTGTTAGGAGACAGTTAATCTGTGAAAATCGATCTCCTCCACTTCCTCCCTGAGCTGCTACTGTCGTCAGAAGACATGCAACGCTCCTGAAAAACAACCAATCGGAGCCAGGAGGAGGGACTTAGAGCTGTCAATCAAACTCATGTACTCACTGCTAAATGTGGTAATGGCTGAGAAACAATGTACCGTTATAGGAAGTTACCTGTCCTCATAGGTGGACATGTTAATGAGCTAACAGGCTATGCTAGCTGCAGCAGAAAAAGGGAGTTGGGAGGGAGGATGAGCGGCGCTACACAGGACTGTGATCGACAGCGCTAAGACCCGCCTTCTTGCTCTGATTGGTTGTTTCTGGTTGGGAGAAAGCAAAGGAGCGCAATTTTTTCACAGATTATCTGCTCATACTTTACAGTTACAATATAGTAACGGTTTGATCAAATATGTACAAAAAAATCCTTTTTTTAAAACTAAAAGTTCAATAGTGAAGCTTTAATGATAAAGGATCAGGACCAATTAGGATGTTCAGAACCCCAAAGGAAAAGTTTCAGGGCTTAATTTTGATTCTAACAACTAACTTTAAGTTCAAACAGAGAATTTAAGCAAACAGAGAATTTCTGAAACAATCAAACTCAAACAGTTCCAACTTTCACTGAACTGGAAACACTTTAAAGGACTAAAATGGCCACAGCGAAGCACCGATGTTTGACGTCTGGATAGGCGAGTAAGTGGGTCACACCAGGTCTGAATTTTTATTCCGACAACGGAAAGAAAAGCAAAGATTTTACGATGAAAGTTTCCATTAGAGGAGAGAAACAAAGCCATCCTGGCAAAAACAATTTATCCAAAGATTTTAACCTGGCCTGGTTAGTCAGGTTTATCTATTACATACTTCAGTAACATGGCAGATTAAAGTGCTTTTCATCATAAAAACACCAAAAACACAAAATCATAAAACACACCAGACAGTCAACAACTGAGAAAGAATTGTTCCTCAAAATAATCAATAGCTGATGGCCGGCTAGACAGTGTAGGTCAAAGTTCACATCTGACCAGAGTAAGAATCAGTTTTGACAGAGACGAGTGCAGCAGGTCAGCTGCTGGATGTAGATGTTTTTTTGATGTCATTGAAACCTGACCTAAATCAACAAACACTGAAACTTGTAAGCAAACGACTGATGAAGTCTCTGTGTGTTCCCCTTCCAGGGAAATTAAAAAAGTCAAACAGAAAAATAATAATAAAAAAAGAGAATACACAGCAGGCAATTCAGCCGAAAACCAATATAAAAGCAATTTTCAAGTCATCTCTTGCTTTTCTTCTGGTGAATTTTCTTACCTTCGTTCCAAACTTTTTATCTTTTTGTCGTCTTGCTTGATCCAAAAAGGCTGAGTAAGAGAAAAAAAACCGATTTTCAAAAATTATATGGCGGGTGAGGGTTTTAATAATGTTTCTGATAAAATAAAAGAAACACTTGAAATGTTATTGAACTCCTAAATAATCCAAAGGTTCTTGGATAACAAGAAAAATAACATGTTTACAGAATTTGATCGTGTTTTTTGAAACATATGTAATGTTTTTTGTATGTATGTAACTAATAACATAATCGTGATGGGATTTAGAAACAACATATTCAACACAAAAGTTAACTTTCTGGGTTTTATTGAGTAAAATAAATATTTAGAGACGTTGGCGCTCATGCAGAGATTCATAGATGGAATAATACCACTGCTCCTGATAAATACATGAAACAGATTTATGTTGCTTATATTGTGCTGATGAGGTTACCAAGAAAGATTTTAAAAAATGTAAACAGGAAAATGTAACAGAAAGTAAAACTTACCATCTTTAGAAACAAAAGTACAGTTTGTCCTAGACTTTGAAGTCCAGAGTCTGTCAGAGAGAAAACAAGATGAGAAAAGATACTTTTAAAGATAAAAAAAAGGTTTTCAACTAATAAAAATGCTTGATATTATTAAGCTTGATTTTTGAAAATCTTATTAACATAATATACCCTCTTAGCATGATAAAATACATCAGGGAAAAACAATAGAAAAGACAAAATGGGTTCAGAATTTCATGGATAAACATGAACAAAACAGACCAGGATTATGCTAAGCAAAAGTGAAATATTTTAAAATAATATAAATAAACTAAATAGAGCAAAGAAAGATGAAGCTACAGATGGATGAATGACATTTTGTGACATCATACTGAAGGTGCAATCAGAGAGCAATGCAGCGTTTAAGTCTGGCCCGACGGAGCAAAGCTGAAAATGTCCTCCACATTTCTGAAGAAAACATTTTTTCTTTTTTTCTACAGGGAAGCTCAGAGCTTTACAGCCACATCCTAAAAACACGGTGATAATAGGGGTGTTGAGTTTAACAGCACTATTTTTAACTCCACGTTTGCTTCAGGAATCGAACCCTGGTGAACAGAGAGAGTCTTTATTCCACGAAGACAAAACCAAAATGTCCGGAAAACATGCCGATTACGCACAGGCAAAACTGGAAAGAAGCAAAATGAATTTACTGAATGTCCTTCTGCGCCACCGCATCCATCATGCATAGCAGAGACACTCATGTGTCCTGGGTTTTCTCTGCACCATAAGCAAGCTTTTTAATTTCTATATCTTCTAGTTCATATACTAGGTTTGTAAAGTTTTCTTCCACAGTTTTTCTGACAGAAAAACACCAGCCCAAAACGAAGAGGGTGTCATAAAAATGACAAATCTGTGGTTTGTTGATCTGTTTTGCTGTTCAACATCTCTCACTGTTAAAAGCTAAAATATCTTGTGGAAGACGTGGAAGCATCTGAAACCAAAAGTGTACAAACCAAAAAACGACACATACACCAACATGTCTTGTGTTAGAATTGCCATAATTATTTCAGAGGTCTATTTACTATTGCCTTCACAATCAGAGTGACTACTTTAAGCAAACAATGTGAGAAGGGCTAAATTGTCACGACTTGTGGTTTGAAACAGATACTTGAAATTATCACATATGTAGAGAGACACAAACTTACCCATTACCTTAGCAGGAGCAAACAAGGGAAAACATGAAATGAGTGAACGACAGAAAGAGGTTAAATAGTGAGGGGACGAGTGGAAACGACAAAAAAGAGCTAAACATAGGTGAGTGGATGCAGCTGGGGAAGGGAGCAGGGAGAGAAAAATGAGGAAACCATAAATAAGTGTTCACTTCTTCCTTCTCCTTTCCAGACAGAAAACCGGTTAACAAATCATTTTGTTCTTGGTTATATATGCACATGTTTCCACTGATTGCTTGTTCTCTTGTTTTCTCAAAACCAGTTTGAAATAAATAAACAAAAATAACAAAAACAGCTAAGAAGGTGGAAAGAGTGGCAGGCTGAAGGTGAAGTGAAAGATAAACAAGGACAGTGGAAACACCTGCAACTGATATAAACAATAAAGAGAAAAAGCATCAAGCACGTGACATAAAGAAAGAAGCAGAAAGTGTTTGGGGAGTATAACAGTTTAAACATTATTAAAAAGGCACACCAAGAAATTCCAGTTCAACTATTTTTATTTTTTTAAATCTAATTAGCAAAATTTCTACATATTTATCCTACAACTAAACTGAAAACAAGCTTTCAGTTTGGGTACTTACCCTCTCTACTTTGTCATAGTTTTCAGCCTTTATCTGCAAATATAAGTATAAAAACTTAGAACTATAAAGCTGAAAGGAATATATTTATGCAGTTTTAATAACTCAAACACACAAACCTAAGAACAGCAATCAAAAGAAATGACCCAAAGCTCAAACAATGCTAAAGGTAAAGATTAACATAAAAACAAAAATCTGAGCAAAAAGTCAGAACTTTAATTCTTTTTACGTGTTTGTTTGTTTTCATTGGCCTAATCTGCTTCCGTAATTTCGCTGTCTGAAATTCAGTCTAAAAATTCTGTAAAATTCTGTAAAAAAAAAAAAAAAAAAAAAAAAAAAAGTTAAGATGTCTGAATATATTTTAACACTGAAAAAGTAAGCGCAAATATGCAAGATTAAAATTTCAGTTTCATTTTTAATTAAAACCCTGGTGACATATATTTACTGCCATACTTTATGACACTTCTCATGTCATGCCGCCCTGGGCTGAGAGCCATGTCGCCTTTGTCAGAGGACATGCAGATTACACTGAGGTTTGCTTCAAACCCGAAAAAGAGTCTGAGTGAGTCATCTTCTTCTGCTGACTTAAATGTTATTAAATATTTAACCCACATTTCCATTACTGTCATTAGCCAAAAGCTGGACACAATCAACGGATCTAAAATGTCTCCAACCCTTTTTCTCCTCACAGCTCTTGTGTGAAATGTCCAATGAAATGCTGTTTCATTCCCACACTCTGGGAACCGGCTGATGACATTTCTTCCCCGTGGTTTTTTGCGCTGTCCGCGTGGACCGAGGCTCGGCGCGCGCGGCTCTGCGCCGCAATGTCCGCGCGTCTCGCTGTGGAGAAGCGCGTCGAGGCTTGTAACGCATTCCAGCAGAGGGAAAGCGAGAGACGCAGCGAGAGGCGCAGCGCCAGCGTGTCTGCGTGAGAGCGCGGAGAAATGCATGAATGGATTCTTGGTCAGACCTGAGCGCCCATTACGCGCCTGGCGATTCGTTTCTGACCATTATCGGCTATGGAGCGGAACATCTGGGGTTAGTTCTCACGATATAATCGAGGTAAGACAGATAACACTCACAATGTTTGGTGTGTTTGAGTCATTGCTGCAGAGATCCACTTTTTATAAATTGGAAGTCTGTTTTATTGTATTGTTCATGTGTTTTAGAGCAAACAAAGAGGAACAGTTTAAGAAATAAATGAACCATTTAAAAACACAATTGGACTGTGGACTTCACAATTAAATTGTGGCATGTTTATTATTCGAATGTATTATTTTAATTGAAATAAAGACAGGGATGTGGCGGATGAACACAAACCATTTCTCTGTGTTGTTTTAAGGAGTTTGAAGTCTTTTTTACACGCGCAAATATAAATTGCAACGTGAATTTGTTCGGATTCCTGAAGCCGTTCATTTCCTAATGAGAGCTCCTTCATCAGGACCGGCTGTCCGCCATCCGCTGTTCCTCATTACGCACAGCAGACTCGCGCTTCTCCACAAAGTTTCTGCCACCAGGTGACAAAGGGAGCGAGAATGGATGCCGAGAGTCTTATTAAGCACTTCCAGCGAGACCCGGAGGCCACTTTAATGCCGCTGTCAGTCACCTCTGACTGGCTGGAGGACGGAAACGAGACCACCGGGAACCAGTTCCAGCAGCCCGACTGGCAGGTGAGAGAGGACGCAATGGATGAATGAGTGATTCATCAACAAGTCAAATTATTTCAACGTTTCCGTTGAAAAAGTAAAAAAATGAGTGATATGTTGGTGACTCAAATTAGTTCCTCTGTAAAGAGGAATGATAGCTGAAGCTAATAACAAATATTTTTAATTGAAATTGTCTGAAATAGACAGCTAATGATGTGGCAAATATCCTGCTTCTTTTCCAATGTTATTTCGTCCTTTCACTCAACTTTCCACTAATGGGCTTGTAACCAGTTGGCTTGTGATGTCAGTGTCGTGTTGTGCACATGCGAAACATTTTTCATGCAGACAGGAAAACTTAAAGATAAGATACCTGGACGTGACGCATGAAACTGCAATAGAAGGAGCCAGAGGAGAATAATGAGACTGGGGAGGTTAATGACTAAAAAGGCTAATAATGATAAAATATAAATTCTAATTACACACTATAAAAAAAGAATATGATTTAAAGAAAAATACCGGCAGAATTTCATTGAATTTATACATTAAAATCCTTATAAATATGGATTTTACGATATGTATATGGTAAAGTTCTGGCAACCACAGTTGCCTATATTTTACTGTAAATTGGGAAAAAAATGTCTACAGTGCAGGTAAATTAATGCAGCTGGGAAAGGAAGCAAATGAAAGTCTGAGTGTAAAAACAGACATAAAGAAGATAAAAGGGATTTACTGACATAAATACTTTCTGATGATATTCTCATTTATGGGGATTTGTCCAAAAGAGGCAGATTGTAACCGATAATGGCTCAACGCTTCGTTTCCCAGTGTTCTCCTCTCCTGACTGTCTTCCTCCTCCTCTTCCTCTCAGGTGGCTCTGTGGGCCATCGCCTACTCCCTCATCATCCTGGTGTCCATCACTGGGAATGTCACCGTGATCTGGATCATCCTCGCTCACAGACGCATGAGGACCGTAACCAACTACTTCATCGTCAACCTGGCCTTTTCGGACGCCTCCATGGCTACGTTTAACACCCTCTTCAACTTCGTTTATGCGCTTCACAACGACTGGTACTTCGGCCTGGGTTACTGCAGATTTCAGAACTTCTTCCCCATCATGGCCATGTTTTCATCAATATACTCAATGGCTGCCATCTCAGTGGACAGGTGAGATCATGTTTTTACTGTAAACTATCAGCTCATGTTTGTCACAGCCATGTTGATAATAAAAGCACTGGGTCTCTTTTCGATAATGTGGGAGATGCTCTGTTTAGCAGACACGACAAAAACACAAAATCTCACCAAGTACTTTTGGTCTAGTTTCTAGTGCAAACATTTCAAAACAAATTTCAGTGTCTCAGAGAAAAAAAACTCACAAAATCTTAAGTATTTTTGTCTAGGGTAAATAGACAAAATAAGATATAAGTGACATAATCTCTCAATGGAACTAGTACTTTTTCATCAAAATTAAAGAATTGTTTACTTAAAACGAGCCTCCACGTCTTGCTGAAAGGTTACCTGTGAGTTAGTTTTGTCTTACTGGAAACTAGACAAAATACATGGTAAGATTTTGCTTTTTTTGGTGTTAATAATGGCAAACAATTTTACTCAGAAGTGCAGAATTGAATTGGAAAAAACACAACCCACATAAAAACTATGCTCTTTTGCTTCTTTTCTCATTTGTTTTCCTCACAAAGCTGAATTTCACTTCGAATCACAGCCTTGTCTCTTAAATGTTGGCATTCGATGCAACTAGAATATATTAGATTTATGAAGAAGCAGCCTTTTCATTTTCTAGAGGTCTCAGTTTTCTTCTTAGATCACATAGCACCTCTTTGTGGAAATCGTTTAGTTACACTCTGTGAGCAGAATCGCTTGGAATTATGTTAAGCAGCAGCCACACAAAAACTAAGCTGCAGCACAGAGGAGATGTGGGTCAACACACAGCTGCAACACAGATGTTATTAATGCTTACTGAAGCATGGATGGTCAGTCTGCTGATGGTGAGTCTGTGCTCTCTGCATCTTCTAGTTTGAAAAGAAAGAACATAAATACAACAAACATAGATGCCTTGATTCAGAGGTAATTTCTATGCTAGACTTATGCAGCCAAAAGTGACCTTACATTTGTCTGCCACTCTTTAAATTAGAGTTAAGGTCATTTGTGTTATTTTGCTGAAACCAACCCTGGGTCAGATATGAACAAATCCAGCTGTCATTTGATTTAACCCAACAAGCATTGTTCTGTACGTTTGACTCAATACTGAGTTTGGTTTTCTCTCCAAAAAATGGCTTAATGTTAAAATGAATGTTCTAGTGCTGCAGGCCTCTGTCTCCAGCAGGCAATTAAATAGACAGGGTGCTCTATGGATGGGGCATCCCAGGAAAAATGATGGTGCACTTTTACCCTGGGGCAATTTGTAGATGGGACCGACAAACAACTGAATGCGGAAAACAAAATGAATGGTCAACATACAATCCTCAACCACTTCATTGGTTCTTTTTAATTTCAGAAATGCCTTTGTTGTTTGTGGCAGACATTTAACAAGGTGCCTCTTACATTCCTCAGAGGTTCTGGTCCATATTGACTTAACGGCTCACAGAGTTGCTACAGATTTGTCAGATGGACATCCATGACGCCGATATCCAAAAGGTGTTTGATTGTATTTACAGGATGTGGATTTCTTAATACGGGGGACTCTTTGTTATGATCAGGAAACCAGTTTAAGTGAACTGGTGGAAGCAATCATCAGATGATGGGTATGCTGTGGCCGTAAGGAGATAGAGACGGTTAGCAACAATACTCAGCGGTGGTGTTGCTCTCAGGGATAATAACAATGACCATGAAAAAAATATACCACACACTATCGCACCACTTCCTACAGACTGAATTACCGACATACGACAGGATGGATCTATGATTGGTTTTCTGGTTTTCTGCCCCGTTCGGATCCCACCATTTGAATGCCGCAGCTAAAATTGAGACTCGTCAGACAAGGCAACATTTTTCTAACCTGTTTTTTCCTGTTTTGATGAACCTGTGTGTCAAGTTTTCTTCCTCAGTGACATTTTCTTATTCATCTGTTTTCTTTTGCGATGAGTCTCACCAGCAGGGCTACATTAGTAGGTTGATAACCTACAAAGAGAGAAGAAAAACACTAACCATCACAAATAACAACAAACACATTTTAACTATTATCTCAAATCAATCTTTTAATAATTAACTTTTGACTTAACAATGAATGAAACCGGTAAACAAACTGCACATTAATAATGTCTTTAGATTATTATTATTATTTTTTAGCTAAATAAACTTGCATAGTACAATTTAACTGAATTATCTCAACAGCCTGGGTCACAATGTTTGATTAAAACTCCCCAACTCCAATCCCTTCAGAAAGAGCAGCATGTGGGTCAGAGAAATAAGGTTTTTATAATGTAAAGGTTTGGACTCCTCTTACTGTAGACACTCTGCATTTAGGAGAAGTAGAATATTTTGTCAAGGAGAGGGGAAGATTCAGAGTGTCTATAACAGGAACTGTCACGTTTCATGGTCAGCACATTTTAAGCTGAAACGTTGTAAACCAAGTGCAAAACCCTGGATGTTTATTGGTTTTACTGCAGCACTCTGTTATTTTGGAAAAGACCCAAAGGCCAAGAATGAAAAGATATTTTTATAACAATGTTTCAAGACAATGAGGATGGTTTTCTCATCATCTCTGTGAAGTATGAACAAGATTATGGATGAACATATCTGGATATTCAACCTGAGAAAAAAAAATAAAACTCCTTATACCTAGAAAGCATTGCAAAGACAAAAGAGCAAAAAAAAAAGAAAAAAAGAAGTTTCTTTTCAAGAGTTAAGAGCAACTTATTCAAGCTGAAAATGTTACACCAGCAAAGCGAACTACTGTCATTCACTGTTATAGGTCATTCACTCAGGGATAATGAGTGAAGAAGCACAACACAAAAATGGCTGATTTTCCCTCCTTAATCTTCTAGTCATCTTGATCTGAATACACAATTAGATTTTTGATTGTCTAAAGATAAAACAAAAATGATCACTTTTGATCTCGACCAAATCTCATCACAATAATTTCATGCTCTGCCGGTCTCAGCCTCGGTAGATTTAAGCATGAAGCCGGTCCTTTATTGGAATACGTTTAATTTATCTAAAACAATGGTGAAAAGAATTTTAAGGTGTGCTTGGAGTGAAATGTTTTTTATTAAGACACTTCAAGCACACTTTAAAATGTATTATATGTAGTTTTGAATGATTCCTCAATCACAGTCCACTTTCTCCAGGGAGAAAACCCCCATTATTCTCACAATTTTTATATAATAGGACTCCTCAAATTGAGTTATTATTAAGCCAGGATATAGAGTGACGTCCAAGCCCAATGTAAAAGAAAAGAAGACAAAAATTATGAAAAGCAAGCAAAACACACGGAAACACACAATCACAACTAATGAATGCCTTGAAGAAGGATGTTAAAAACATGTCGCCTTCATGCAAATCAAATTATGCAAGATCTCACTTCATTAGTCATGAAACACTCAAGCTGTCTGCCCTGAATGGTTCAGATGTGTGATTCACAGGCTTAGCCTAATGATTAGACCATGACGATGACACCACTGAGTAATTGTGTTGTTGAAAATGTCTAGTATTCTTCTTGATTTTCACAATATGCATTGTTCTGACCTCTTCACACTTACATGCTACGCATAATTTGCATCATCAGGGACTTATTTACAATTATATGTTAAACATAATTGACATGATGATGATGATGATGATGATGATGATGATGATTATTATTATTATTATATGAATTTAACACTATTGTACAGAATTACAAAAAGTTGAAGTGAAACATATTTAAGCATGATTTATTTTGGAAAGAGGAAATCTTTTATTTTGAAGAACGCTTAACCGGATCTAGTTTTTGCCTTTCGTCACTACCTTGCCTTCGGCTGCTAGGACACGAACAGCCGTTGCCGTTATCTGCTGTCGCCGTTGTTTGTTCAGTAAAAACTGGACAGAAAGTATTTAGCTAAATACCTGTGGGCCTCCGTCAAGAAACTTTCGCCCCGTAATGTCAAACAAAACGTCTCTGATTTCTCTAACAGCGGCAGCTGTGCTCATTAGCCACATTGTTTTACCGTATAAATATACATTTTACCGTATTTTACGTATAAATACGCATTTATACGCCAGAATAGAGATGTTCTTCTGGCTCTGGGCCTTGGACTAGCTATCCATACTGCCGTTGAAAATAATTGTGTGTGAGCATTTTGACTGTAGATTGGATTATGTTGTGTTATTGCTTCAATGCCAGCTGGTTAGGACAAACCCAGAGGCAGGCAATCAGATTTCATTTGTTGGCTTTCTGCAGGTAACCGCCTGCAAAACCAACCTGCTTTTCATTTCCTGTCACTAATGCAGATGGTAACGCCTTCCAGTGTAGTACATTCCTTTTTAAATCTGATTTTGTGGTGTTATAGCCCATTTCTCATCCTTCATACATTTTCGCACATCACAAACACAAAATTCAATGTATTTTGTTGTGATTTTCTGTGTTGGACCAAAACCCAGCAGTAAGTAAGATTTAAAAGTTGTGGAGAACAGGACGAATAATTGTCCTGCCAACAGATTTTCCCACCTAGAGTCACCATGCCATTACCTGGCCTGCTAATTTATTGCGCCATATTTTGGGTGTTTTGCATCTGTGCAATCATCCATTTTCAGATGATTAAACTTTACAAGTCTGGTTTATTCATCTGTGTTGGTCTGTATTGTTTGTCCTCATGTCAATTTTCAGAATTCTGGTTGTTTTTTTTTTTTTTTATTTTATTTTTTTTAAACCATCATCTTGTTTTTTTAAAGCTTTTTGAAGCAGTTTTTAAGTGGTTATGTTTTTGTATTACTGTTGTTTTCTCTATCTTTTTTACTTGCCTCTTTTGGATAAATGTTTTATTGTAACAAATTGAATCGTATCAATTCCCAAATCAATTGGGGTGTAAAACTGTAAAGTAACTACATTTGAAGATGGGTGTGCATACTTTTTCAAGACACTGTTTGTTATTTAAAGCTGCAGTATGTAAACTTTCATATATAAAAAATAAAATAAAACATTATATATGTGTGTGTGTTTTGTTTTTACGTATTTGTTGAATGTGTCACTGTATCGCGGCTGTATGGTACCAGCTCCCAGTGCCAGCTAGAAGCAACCAATCATGATGATCCCCGTGTTTACTTTGCTAAAACCTCGTACTACAATACAGCTTCTCCCTGCCAGCAGAACCTGTTGTGAATGTTCAGGTTAGTTATATGAGCTTGATTGTCAGCGTTAAGACCCGCCTCCTGGCTCTGATTGTTTTTGTTTTTTTGTCAGATTGGTGTATTTTTTCAGAGATCAAAAGCAGTCCAGGGAGGTGGAGGAGACTGATTTTTTTCACAGATTATCTGCCCCAAACTGTCACAACATGATACATATGTAAAAGAAGAAACATATTTTTAAAATAAAAATTACATACTGCAGCTTTGAGAGCAACATTTTTCTTAAAGCTGTAGTTTTCAATTAACTTAAGGGAATGTTTGCAATTAATTGTCTGTCCAGGCAGAACATAGTCTTTAGGGAGTCCTGTTTCTTGCTTTAAAATAATTATTTCCTCTGGTTCTTTTCAAGGTACATGGCCATCATCCACCCACTGAAGCCTCGCCTCTCCTCCACCTCCACAAAGGTGGTGATTGCCCTGATTTGGATTGTCGCCTTCTCGCTGGCTTTCCCTCAGTGCTACTACAGCGTAACGACATTTTACTACCCCAGGACGGTGTGCATGGTCGACTGGCCGGATGATTACGGAGGAACCCACCAGCTAAGGTGAAAGAGGGAGACAAAGTGAAACACACGCAGGGAGAATGAGTCAGATTCCTATGAGTGTTTTGTGTATTCATGCACAGGATTCACAGTGTGTCAGAGGGTTTGGTTTCTTTTTCTGTGTGCATGTCATTTGGTTGTTTACTGATGTGGGTAGAATACCCAAAAGATGGTACTCAAGTAAGAGTAGCACTGCTCTTTGTTGAGTTGAGCTATTCAACATGTTTTTACTCAAGTAATAGTAAAAAGTAGCCATCCACAAAATAAGACTAAAAAGTATTTGGAAAAAAGACTTCTCAAGTACTGAGTAACTGGTAATTTATTCACTTAATATATAAAAAAAACAACATCTTCAGACAGACCAAACTATAAGGTTAAGAGGACATTTTGGTGTTCTAAAGAACCAAAATGTCAATAATTCAAATAAGTAGCAAAAAATAACAAAATAAGGTAAAGGAATCAGTTTCTTCCAATAATAAAAATACAACTTGTGAAACGTTAACAGAAAGTGCTGCTGTGTATCTTTTCCTGATCATTTTTGGTTAAGACATGTTTGTTTTTCATTCATTGCGTAGAAAATCCAGTGTTGTGAACATATTCCCATTTTCAGGTAAATGTACCAGTAACTGTAACGCAGCTCTGTCTGTGTGTCCAGTTACCAGTTTGCGGTGATATTGCTGATCTACTTGCTCCCCCTGCTGGTCATGCTGGTGACCTACAGTTTAGTGGGTCGCTCGCTGTGGGGGGGCCACATCCCCGGAGAGGCCACCGAGCATTACCACAGCCAGATTACAGCCAAGAGAAAGGTCGCCACGCTTCCCTTTGTCTGACTCGTTTAATCTCGTTTCAAGCTGATGTCTCGTTCATTTGTTCTTCAACTTTTCGCGCTGCAGGTGGTGAAGATGATGGTGGTTGTGGTGGTGACCTTTGCCCTCTGCTGGCTGCCTTACCATGTCTATTTCATTCTGGGGTCGTTTAACAGAGACATTTATAAACAGCATTACATTCAGCAGGTTAGACGCAGATTTTCTCTTCAATGTGAGTTAATGATGTCATAACATGACGGCTCATCTCTTGCTGTCTCTTTGTCAGGTGTATCTGGCTATTTTCTGGTTGGCGATGAGTTCGACTATGTATAATCCGATTATTTACTGCTGTTTGAACCAAAGGTAGAATTTCGAAACATTTGAGCCGTTTTGCACGAACAGTACGAGCTTCTGAGTAACGTTTCCGTCGCCTTTCTTCAGGTTTCGGGCCGGTTTCCGTCACGCTTTCTCTTGGTGTCCCCTCATCAAAGTGTCAGAGGAGGACAAGATGGAGCTGCAGTACGCACACACCTTCAGGGTCACGGTGACACGCAGCCGCCGCAGTGACACCTCATACACGCACGCCTCCATCAAAGCAAGCAGCGCCAACTCAGAGAAAGACGCGTGCTTACAGCGGAAAAAGTTCCCGTGCAGCAGTCAAAACTCCCACGCGATCACGAAGCAGGACGACTCCAGAGCCCCGCCCTCTAAGATGGTGGCACACGACCTCTGACCTCTGAGCAGCATCCTGTTGAAAACACAGCAGAAAGAGCAGGAGGCGAGGAAAGATCTGCTCAGACTCGGAAATCTATTGAGTGCTGTTTGTAAAGTTACAGAGTGAAAACTAAGAATATTTTAGTTTATTCTGTCTGAAACAAAGGTAGTGTTAATCATTTCAACTTCATATTTTCATCATGTTGTTCATACATTTATAAATGTCAGAGGTCCAAACTAAATATTTAACCTGCAACCTGAATATTTAGTTCACAGGCTAAATATTGAGCAACCTGGATATTTAACTAGCAAGCTATAGATTAAGTTTGAAAAATATGAAATTGAAATGGTTAAATTAGAAATTAAAGGTTTAGTTTTTAAAATAAATATTTAGTATGGCAAATAGATATTTAGTGTGGAACTACACATTTAATTAGCAAACTAAATAGTTAGCCACCTAACTAAATATTTAATTCACAAACTAAACAAACAAAATATTTATTTTTGTTTCAATATTTTAAAATATTTAGTTTCAGTATTTTAAAATAAATATTTAGTTTAAATAGTTTTAAATAAATATTTAGTTTCAATATTTGGTTCAAATATTTTAGTGTAAAATATTTATTTTAAAAATTAATTTAGCTTTTAAAGTGAATATTTAACTAAATATTTCTTTTTAAAAGTAAAGATTTAGTTTGAACCTCTGGCACTGATAAAAATATGACCAACATGGTGGAAATGTGACTGGAAAAAATGAACCCCCACATTTTGTCTGTATGGAAGACTAAATATGCCAAAAATATTGCTGTTAATTGTTTTTTACCGTGTAACTTTAGAAACAGCTCTGTATAGAAATCAATAACATGATGAAGGTGTTCTTGTTTTTCCTCATCATGTGGTGAATCTCATGCTCATATTGTACAGGGATTTGGAAAATATTCACACTCTTTGTTTATTTCTCACATTTTGTCTCTTTACAGCCACACATTTTGCAGCATTTATTGGGATTTTTGGCGATGAATCGACATTAAATTTTGCATAATTGTGATTCCTAGCGGAGTGTGACTCAGATCTGGGGTTTGGGGTCCCACAGGGCTCCGCTCTAGGCCATGTCCTCATTCAGATGATGACATTTTTATTACGAGTGAACCATAGAAAACTTCAGAAATAAAGCCAATTTCCAAAGTTAGCTTTATATTTAAAAGCATTTTTAGATTCTATAGTTTATTTTGCTAAGTTGTTATAAATATGTGAATCTATAGCCGTGTGCTCCAGGCTCCGGGTTCAGGAGAACCGCCATGTGTGGTATGTCTAGTTCAGATTATTAAATATGAGTTTTTCCATCTTGTTTTGATCGTTATCTCGAGCCTGCCTGCTGAGCTCCTCGCTCTTCATGTTTGTCTCTCTAACAAACGTCTGGAAGACCTAGATCTACTCTAGGAGTAAATGGATTATATCTGAGTCTACAGGGATCATTTCTATTCACTAATGAGGTTGCACTGGATTTTATTTTGGGGTTTAACAGTAAAGGAAAGTTGTTACATATACACTCCACACTTTTGAGATTTTCGTTTGTTTAGCATTTGGAAAGCTACGCACTTTCGTCACAATTATGCACGACTTTGTGTTGGTCTGTGGTGTAAAATCCCAATGAAACACAGTGAGGTTGTGGCTGTAATGTGACAGAATGTGGACATGTTGACTGGATGTGGATCATTCTGTGAGACGCTGGATACGAGACGGAGAGAACCGTGGTGCAAACTGAAACCGACAACCTTCCTGTGAAATGCTGACCTTTGAACTGCAGCGTTCATTTAGTGTTTACATTTGTAAAATACTGTATATAAGAGGCAAAAAGACTAAATGTGGCATTGTAAAGTTTGTTGTAAAGTATCTTTCACCTTTATTCTCTCTCTCCAGCTGTAAACTTTTACATTTTGAAGTTGCTTTTTAAAAGTTGTAGTTTCTGATTTCGCAGAGAGTTGAGTGCTGTCGGTGCCAAACTTTTAGGTTAACCTAATAATCACTGATGTTGAACAAGTTTTTAGTAAAAATAAATCCAATGTTTGCTGCAGGTTTGGCCTCATTAAAGACGATGTAGAAAGAGTCGATCAAATAAATGTTAATATCAAACAAATTGGAAAGCAAGATCAGAGAAAAAACTGTTTTTTTCCAGCTCTATTTTCTTCCATCAGCTGCTGCGGCTTCAGCTCAGTAAAACTTTAAATCCCCTTAAAAAAATCACAACAATCAAAAAACAATCTTAGTGATTGTTTAAACAACAATCACTAAGAATGTTGTTTCTAAAAATAAAATTTATCAAAATATGTGGAGGAAAGGATCAGTACAATCCTCATAACTCTCTAATTAGCATTCATTAGTAATATTTGTTCAATAAGCACATATTATATATATTTATGGTGCGGTCTTATTTGCAAAAAAAAAAACGTATTTAATTTTTATGGCCAGGTTTTAAGAAAAAGTTACTTGTTGAGGCTATTAATGTTTAAAATAGTCATGTAAATATCAATATTTGACCTGTGATTATGTTTTGATGTTTCAGAATGTTGAATAAAATTTATTGAGCTTTACACCAATATGTTTTTTATTTTATTATTGTGGCCTACAAGCAGAAAGTCAACATGAGAGTGGTAGGAATGGACTTCCTGTTTGCTAATAATGATAATAATTCATTTTATACACGCATCATTCAGGAGTGTAAATGTGAATCATACAGTCAAGACATTTAAACAAAATTTAAATATAATAAATCAGCATCTGAGGTTTCAGTATGGGGAAGAAAGTGAAAATATATTATTAAAATTTAATCCGAAGTGAGGATTTTTTTGTTTCTTTTAAAAAAAAGGTGGGTTTTATGAAGAGCAAAAACCTCCTAAAGGAGCATTACGCAGATTATATAAATGATGTGGAAACCAGTGGTGTTGCAGGTCAGGTGTAAGGTAGGCTTCATTTTTTTATTCCACACATGAACACTACCGGCTAATTTCTAAAGGCAAGACGTGAGAAATGAAAAATGGAGCTTAAAACATGTGCACGCCACACTTTTTAGATTTTTATTTGGAAAAATTGAAAACCCGTTTCCCATTTTGCTTTCTCTTTACAATCTTTGTGTCAAAACATTGATGTTAAAAATGGAATTAAATTAAATGAAACCGATTGAGCAAATATTAACAGAAAACCGCTGCTTCAGATGAAACGAGGTTCAATTTATTGAGAGTCAGACTGACAATGTGCAACATGTCCAGTCTGGGTTTTACAGACCACAGTAAGAAAAACACCTGGATGTCTCACAGGAGCTTGCAGACAGACAACAGGACAGGAACGCAGCCTGAGAACTGGCAAAACTCATCCAACAGAACAGAAAACAGAAAAAGTTCCACTTATAGAGTCAGATTTTTGAACAATTGATCAAATATCTGGACAGTTTCTACAGTGGAAAATGCACACTTTTAAATATCCAAGTATTTTTTTGCTTTTGGTCAAAGAGTCACACAACCGTAAAACTTTCCTGAGACTTTTCGAAGAAAAAAAAAAATCTACTTTATAAAGTGGGGGTACATTTATATATCATATATGTATGTTGCACAGCTTGGTTATTTTTTTCCCACTGCGTTGGCACTTTGCTCTTGCGGATTTTCTAGCAGCTGCGATTAGCACCAGCAGCAGAAATTGTTTACATCTGGCTACAGAAAAACTCTGCAGCCAGAGAGACACGAAGGTTTTTGTGCACAGGAAAAATTCAGCGAGGAGAAATTAGTCAGTGGCAAGTTGTGTGCGCGTCATATGTGCAGCAGTAAAATTCTTCAACATAATACTAAAATAAATAACAATGCTGAACACACTGCCTCATATCTGGGAGAGCCATTAAAACCTGAAGCACAAATGTTCCCTTTCTTCTCCACACATATTTCTACTCCATCAGATCTCTTTAAATCAACCTGTATAGTAATAGCTCCAAACTGACCCACTTTGGTTTGAACTGCTTAAAGTTTTGGATGTGTAATAAAGCTGATGGGAAAGTTGCCAGACTGCAGTAACAAGAGGAATCCACCAGGTGGAGACAGAGGAGCAATATATATATATATATATCTATATAGATATATATATATATATATCTATATATATATATATCTATATATATATATAATATATCTATATATATATATATATATAAAATTATTATTATTATTATTAGATTTATTTATGTTTCAACAGACGTTTTTATGCTTATAATTAATTATGGTTAACCTTTGAAATCACAAAATTACAGCCTAAAGAGGCCGGATGCTGATAGGCAGAGTTTAATCAGAATGAATCACCTCTCCTGCCGAACAGCAGAGAGAGAGGCCGACGTTCCCCCTTCTGTCTCAGGAAGACACATGGATGAAGCAGCAGCTGGAGTGTGCAGCGCTGAGGACGGTAGCAGTGGACTGAAAGCCATAAGCTGCCTGATATGTAGTTATTTCTTTTTACTCTTGACCTCTTTCCTCATGCGGCAGGCCACCGCTGTGATCAGAGCGGCTCCTTTGCCGCTGCCGTCTTCAGACAGCAGGAAGTTGACGTTGCACTTCGGGGCCAGATCTTTGACCGTCTGCTTCATGATCCGAGAGAAACTGGGCAGAAACACCAGACATGTGACGATCAGTTTTACTGGTTCATAGCGAACATTTAAAGACTGGAGCTGGAAAACATTTTAAATATACAAAATAAATAAAGAAAACAACAGAAACAACAAATAAAATGAACTGTGAAGCATCTGTAAACAAAATTATTTGTGTTAGTTGAGCTCAAAGCACCAGATTTAAGACTTTTATCATTCAAGTTTTAGTAAAAAGAGAAAGAAGAGAGAATAATAATAAATCAGGCAAATGAAGATGAGTTTCTTTTCATTTATTGTGCAATTGATTATTGATTTATTGTCTATTGTGATAGGCATAATTCTGGGTTGAACATCACATATCTTAAATACAACGTATATATTTTTGTACCATTTTGGCTTCATTGCTGCTCTGAGTTTGTTGTTCTTTTGTTTTGTATACTTCACTTAACAATTAATCAAATGTTAAACCGGTTGATTATCATCTAAATAATCACAATTAATCTGATTCAAGGCTTCGTTATGTCACACTTACTGTGGGTGTAACTTGTAGAGTGTGCCGTCCACTCCCACAGTGATTTTCAGGTGCTCCAGTTTCCGGTTCTCCCGTATCTTCTCGACGACAGCCGCCACCCCGGCCCCGCACAGCTGAGCGCCGCGCCGCGACACCGCTCCACACACCTGCCGGCACAGAGCCTCATCATCACTGCAACATCTAACACATCGGACCAGCTGCCGCTCTTCGCAGCAACAGAATGAGGACATCGATGTTTAAACCTAGAAAATACACACAGGTCTGTCTGCAGATTCTCGGTTTGAGTACATGACTGAGACATTTAGTTCTTTAATGAAGCTTCCTGTTGTTCACCTTACCTCTTTGACGATGATACTGTCATCACAGGTGCTGTCCAGTCCTAAATGCTGCAGGATGGATCTCACCTGCAGCAAAGCCAACCCGTCACTGAAGACACAAAACATTATGATTAATTTAAATGGACCAAACCTGGAGTTGGATGACAGTGTTTAATATCTCTCAATATCAATATTTATCCAGGGTTTCTCCCAGTTTATTATAAGCCTGGCGGGCCACCAGGCTTTACTTGTGCCCCCATCAGGCAAAAGCACTGCTAATTTAATTGAGCTTTTTAAAAACTTTTGCCTTTTTTAAGACCTTATTGTTGGTATTGAAAAATTCATCAAAATACAGTGATATTTTCAAATTTCCTGTCAACTTTAAACATTTTTTAAGTCAAAAGCACGGCAGGCCGCTGAACGAATGGCTGCCCTGGCACCCCGACCTCTGGGCTTACCGAGGTTTCTGGGGAAAACCCTATTATTGTTTAGTTTGCTTTTTGTTTAAACGTCTAAAACGCTTCCAAACTCTTGATGTCACGTTTCCCGTTTTACCCACAGTTTCCTCTGAAGTTGTTGTCATGTTCTCTTTTCACTTCACGCAAGTGTTCTTTTTACTTTTAATCCGTTTCGAATCGCAGCAGCAAAACCTGAAACTGCTGCAGTGCACGTTACTTAGCAGGCTGTTGCTAGGCAACCAAAGAGCGAGTCAGCTGTTGCTAGGCAACCAAAGAGAAAGCGGCAACTGTTTTGACTTCAGGAGAAATGAAGAGAGTTAGGAGAAATTATTGAACATTGTTTTAGACGTAATCTCTATTGATATTGATCACGTGTTTGTTTATTGATGCATCGTCGAGTCATAACCAAACCCTGAAATGTTTTCTGCACCACAAACGTCCTTTATATTTGTTTCTCGGAATATAGTAATATATCTGCAGCTCCTGCAGATAGAAACCCACAGACAGGCTGCTTGTGTCTTACCTCTCGATCTGTGAGAGGAACTTTGTTTCAAAGATGCCTCGGGTCTTCAGGGCTTCAGAGATCTGCCCTCTGAACAGGAAGCCTCTCTTGGTCATGTCTATGAGGATGTTCCTCACGATCTCACCAAGGTACATGCCGCTGATCATCTTCTCATATCTGGAACGTGAAACACAAGCGTGTAAAAACGCTCCAGAACTGAAAACATCGGCGAGTGTTTCTGGGGAGGATGGAAATGTTTCTGATCACCTTTGCTTTCCTACGTTGAGAGAGAGGTCATCCACGGCGTGGTCGTACTCCGTACTGAAGTCGTCGAGGCAACCGTTGTCTCCGAAAGCTCCCCACTCCATGTTGATACACATGCGTCCCTGATCACCGTCGAGCATCTCAACGTTCCTCATCTCCTCCATGTAACAGGCGTTACTGCCGGTTCCTGCGGCCAGACGCACATTGAAGCCGACGCAGCGCAGGGAGATGGACATCGGTCATTTCGGCTGCGTTCACACTGCAGCCTGAAGTGACCCAGTTTTAATTTTTTTTTGCCTTAATGTGACCTGAATCTTATCTTATTAAGTCTGAACAACACAGGTTGGATTTTCTTCGAATACGACCCAGGCCACTTGGATATCCGATATATATCTGGTTCAAATGTGATCTAATGTCGCATTTATCCGACCCGGACATCACTGATACTCGACAGACGTCACTATTCTGTATCCTGATACCAGCAAGCAGGAAGAAAAACAACATCCAAGATGGACGATAATGAGGATTAAGTTGTCAATGTGTTGGTATGACAACAACTGAAAAATCGTAAGCTATGCTTCACCATTAGCATCCACGTTTACTTCCGCCAACACATAGCACTACTTCTTCTTTTTCTGGCGGTTGGGAAAACATTGAGAACGCAATAACGTCACACATAGAGGGCTATGTGTTATTGTTATTGCGCCCTCTACTGTGCATGCGGGACACTTTCAGGCTGTTTTCAGTTCCTGCTGGAGATCATAAACAAGCCTTGTATATTCGGAAGTGTGAACGACCGCAACAAAGAAAATCCAATTTGTCAAAAAAATTAGAATTGGATCACTTCAAGCTGCAGTGTGAACGCAGCCTTGGACTCGATACATAACAGTTACTAACCAGCAATGAGTCCAACCTCACAGGTGGGCTCTTCGTAGGCACAGGTCATCATGGTTCCCACGGTGTCGTTGACGATGGCCACCACATCCAGCTCAAACTCCTGAGGAAGTAGCCCGACCCATCGTGCTAAGCTACACTTTAAACTACAGCTGTAAACCGAAAGCTGCTCATTTTCAAATCTTACCTCGGTTCTCTTAATGGCGTCCCTCAGCAGTCCAACAACGTCTTCAGCCTCACAGCCTGACGCCTTGAAGCCTTTGGTCCAATTCAACAAGATGCCCTGCATGCAGAAGAGGAGCGTCATGAACTGCTCAGCGACTCTGGAGCAAACAAAGGAGATGCTTTACTCACAGCATCCAGACCCGTCTGTCGGCAGGGGAAGGAGAAGGTGAAGCCCAGAGGAAGACATGCCGTCTTCATCCCCATGTAGTCCAGGAAGTCGCTGATGCAGTGCACTATGTGATCGAACAGCTGCAGCAGGAGAAGTTATTATAAATGTACAGAACTTGATGAAAAAGCTTCATGTTTTCAAAGTTATTTCAGCTTTCCTACTGAGCAAATCACACCTTTTCATATGTGAGGTGGCTATACAATGCAGTGAAACAATTTTCAGATCAGAAAATGTTCTAATATCAGACAAGATCATTTCAGAAAATACAATAATGGTTTATTAGATGATGAATTAGTTCCCATGATGTACATTTACACCTTTTTTTACTGTTTTGAATTTAGCTCCTGTCCAGCAGAGGGCGCCGCTGGCAGTCCTTAAGCGGAGCCAATTGATACAGAAATAAGATGAAGGCTATCTCAGAACAGGACAGAGAAACGATCCAAAGGCGTCTGATGTGGGTGAAAAATGCACTTTAGGTGGTTCTGGAAAGTGTTTATAGATGCTTTTTGCATCTTTTATGTTACGCAGTCAGACAGATTCTGTTTAAATGATTTATTGATTCCTCAGGTTGGTAATGAACTTGTAGGTCTATAATTATCCCATAAAGCCCAGTTAGTTTACATTTATTTTTTCCCTTAATTAAATCATCAATGGAAAATTACATTGCGTATTAACTCTGATTATATATGTATGACTAATATTAAAGTTATTTTGATGATCTAAAACATTTAAATATGACAAACAAACAAAAAGATCAGAAATCTGTAAATGGAGCAAAAAAAAAATTTCACAACACAGTAAATAAACAGTTATTCACTGTTAAATAACTCAATCACTAATTTAATCTCACTGTGACTCAGGTTACACACAATAAGTACACTAACAAAAATTAACAGGGAAAAAATACTGTAAACCCAGGGAAAAGGTTTTTAAAGGTCTAAACACATGGTGGAAATATGTTTGACGCTTTTTAGTTTCCACTAAATCTCAAGCTGTGAATCTCAATCCACCTTGAGATTCACAGCCTTCGTCCCAGGAGTGAGGAGTGAGGGTGAGGAAGACTTAAGGAGGAAGCAGATTAGCTTCAGCCAGTGCAAATCTGTTAAGTTCAAATCTAAGCTTTAAAGATTGTTAACTTGATCCTAAACTGAACCAATCACTTTATCTGTGTTGTCAGTTTTCCTTCCAGCCTTTATATTGTAACCAGCAGTCATCCTGTTCCCAGTCCCTTAATCCTCCCAGTATGATCTGGTAAACAGGAATCGAGGCTAAAGCTTTTCATCAATCCTTGGCTCCCCTCAGGAATCTCACCTCTTCTCCTGTGCCCTGCATCACTTCAAAAGGAATTGCGTAAATCTTGTTGTGCATCTCCACTGATTTCTTTCCGGAGCGAATCTTGACCAGCAGAACTCGAAAGTTGGTTCCCCCCAAATCCAGAGCCAGGAAATCGCCATTCTCTGCACGCGCGTGGAAATGTAAGAATGAACAAACAAGCAGCAAAAACAGATAAACGGCACAAAGATTTCAGCATTAAAAAATAGAAATTAAAACTTGATCACAGACTTGGTACCTTGTAAAGTTTTGGATTTAAAAATTTTAAAGTTTAAAGTTGATAAAAGTTTAACAGAAAGTATGAGAGGTATGAGCTCATGCTAAATCGAATTAATACGTTAATTAATTCATTTGAGTAGTTCTGTGTAGTAAGGCTGAAACAATCATATTAATCATGATTGATTATGAAAAGAATCGTCAACTAATTTAGTAATTAATTGGCTGCTAATTGAAGCTACAGACACAAAAAGCCTTTTGTCAGAGGCTAAAATCAAGGTCAGATCAGACAACAGGGAACGGAGGTTGAGGTGCCAGAGATACCATCATGGGAGGACAAGCCCCTACATGGGATGTACCACCAGCAAATAACCCAAGTGGCTGATATCAATAAATCCTACCAATGGCTGGAAAAAGCTGGACTCAAGGACAGCACAGAGGCCCTCATCCTGGCCGCCCAGGAACAGGCCCTAAACACCAGAGCAATAGAGGCCCAGATCTACCACACCAGACAAGACCCAAGGTGTAGGTTGTGCAAGGAGGCCCCTGAGACAGTCCAGCACATAACAGCAGGGTGCAAGATACTGGCAGGGAAAGCGTACATGGAGCGACATAACCAAGTGGCAGGCATAGTGTACAGAAACATCTGTGCAGAATATGGACTGGAAACCCCGAGATCAAAGTGGGAAACACCCCCAAAGGTGGTGGAGAACGCCAGAGCTAAGATCCTGTGGGACTTCCAGATCCAGACAGACAGAATGGTAATGGCGAACCAACCAGACATTGTCGTAGTGGATAAACAACAGAGGAAAGCCGTTGTGGTAGATGTAGCAATACCAAGTGATTGCAACATCAGGAAAAAGGAGCACGAGAAACTGGAGAAATACCAGGGCCTCAGGGAAGAACTGGAGAGGGCCTGGAAGGTGAAGACCACAGTGGTGCCTGTGGTCATCGGGGCCCTCGGGGCAGTAACCCCCAAACTGGAGCAGTGGCTACAACAGATCCCAGGAACAACATCAGACATCTCAGTCCAGAAATGTGCAGTCCTTGGCACAGCCAAGATACTGCAGGACCCTCAAGCTCCAGTTGTTAATTGGTTAATCCAAGAAATAGTCAGATTAGCTCCAAACTGAAGTTAAGCTGAGCAGAGTTGAGGTTTTTACGTGTCGGTATTAGTCAGCAGAATATGGCAATATCTGCATCCATGAGAATAAACGACAGATTAATTGACTATGTCGAAGCTGTGAGTGAGCATTACCTGTGCCGTCAGGTGTGCTACGGACAAACGAGGGCAGCATTCTGACGACGGCGACGTCCTGTGTGCTTTTCGAAAGGCCTTTCTCCATTTCTGCTCTCATTCTGTTTTTCACCTAAAACAACACAAACATCAGCCAACCAAATGGATCGCAGACGGCGGCGGGACTCTCTCCTCACCTCCAGCAGCTGCTCCGTCGTCATGCGGAACTTGGACATAATCTTTTCGATTTCGTGGGTCTGTTCGGCGAGCCTGTAGGCCACTGCCGTCACCATGGCAGCTCCTTTCCCGCTGCCGCTCTCCGACAGGAGGAACCGGACGTCGCAGTCGGGGACCAAACGTCGGACGGTCTTATGGAGGCGGCGAGCGTAGCTTCAAGCGGACAGAGAACATCAGCCGCTGTCTGTATAATCTGTCATATACACTGAGGGTGTGTGTATCAACACACTCACTGCGGGTGCGTCTTGTACAGAGAGCCGTCGACGCCCACAGTGGTTCTGAGTCGCGCCACTCCCTTGTTTTCCTTCAGACGCAGCAGGATGCCGGCCAGGGCAGCAGCTACCAGGTTGGCGGAGCGATGAGAGACGATGGAACAAATCTAGAGGATCAAAACCAAAGAAAGCAGAACGCTCATGTAGCAGCTGAGTGCATGTGTGAAAAATCCTTCAAATGAACATCTACTACACACAATTGATGCAAAACCAGAGAAGGATTCTTGTAGAACTAGGTATCAAACTCATTATTATATTTGGGCCACTTCAGCATTGTAAATATCCTTAAAGGGCCGGTTAAATGTATTGATAAACTACCTGTTAACAAGCTGTTAAAGAGTGATTGCGTTTCAGTACAAATTTGATATTTAACATATTTTACATTGTAAGTTGACACTATGCAAAAATCTGATTTGATTTTCATGGCGTTCTAAAGCAGCGGTGACCAAAGTGTGGCACGGGGGCCATTTGCGGCCCTTGGACTGAGTTTGTGTGGACCCCCCAAAAGCAATTTGACAATGACAGAAATTTGGCCTGTCCAAATGGACTTTTATTTTTAAATCAGGATGAAAGTATTGATAAAGACTTCTCCATGGTTATGTCAGATGTTATATCGTGTTTATGACAGAGTCATGTCAGTCTTATTCACACACCTTCAAATAAAGTGCTACCAAATTCCTTTGAAATACAGTAAGCCTGGAATAATAGTTTTATGTTTGAGATCCATAATGAGTAAACTACCTTTTCTAAAAAAAACCACCAAACAATAAAAAAAATTCTATGACTTTATTTGCTTTACTTTGGCTTTTGTTCTCATCTTTTTGAGCCGCGAGTTCTTTTGAGTCACGATTTTGACAAATGTGACAAAAGGTTTTGATGCCCCGGCTTTAGAATGTTGAGGGCCACATAAACAGTTGCCATGGGCTGGATTTGGCCCACACGCCTCCAGTTTGAAATGTGCTGTAGAGGGTCCAGAGTCCTGGATTCACAGAGGACGGTTCAGGTTGAGTCTGGTAAACCATTTTTCTGTTATCATTACATTTCGGCTCATCATCCTGCAGTTTTAAAGTGTTTCCTGGCAGAACTTATCAGATACTTTGTTTGATTTTTTTTAAATGAACTGTATATGCTGATTCACCTACAAAGTGACGTTATGCAATTTTTTTTTTTTTGCAAAAATACCCACATGCTGTACAGCGAGGCAGTCCTCTAGAGTCGGTTCCAAATTAAGTCGACTTAAAATCTCTTTTGCTTTGCTTATACCTTCCTTACTCCTAAACAAAAGCAAAGGTTAGAGAGAGATTTAATATGTTAGTTTACTACAACGACAGGTATTTTGTAGAGTTACTTTGTGGACTTACTTCTCCATTAATGAGACGAGTTTGGTCGGAAGTGTGCCTTTGGTCAGAAGCTCTGCAGTGATTCTCCCCTCGAACAGCAGCCCCTCCCGGGCCATCTTCACTAGGACGAGGCGCACCAGCTCCCCCATGTACATCCCACTGACCATCTTCTCAAAACTGCAGGACACAGAAAAACACAGCTGTTTTTAATATCTAATAGTGTTATAATAATTCAACCGTCTCATCTTTCCTTCAGTGACAACCACAAACTTTCAGAGCTTTTCTTTTTTTTATTCTTGAACAGCGTTTTCTTCCAGAATTGCAGGGGAAGTACTTGTGTCATTTTATAGCTCAATCAAGTCGTTAAAAAAATCCTGTATATTTAAAAATATTTGACTTTGTAATTTGATGCCTTAAGATAGTTGAGCTGTTTTAACAGTAACTGCTGTGTGAAGACAACCGCCCTGAAGGACTAACTCACAGCTGTTGGCCGGGGTTGAGAGAACCTCGGTCTATCTCGATGTCAAACTGTGTCCTGATGTCCTCCAGACTGCCGTCGTCCCCGAACGCGCCCCACTCGGTGTTCACGCACATGCGGCCCTCGTCTCCTTCCACCAGGTCGATGTGACGCAGCTCCTCCATGTAGCAGGCGTTGGTGCCGGTTCCTGCAGGCACAAAAAGGGAACCAGCGCTTTAACTCACTCTGATAATCGGGCCCACCCCCCTCCTGCTCCAGCAAAGCCGCACCGATGATGATGCCGACTTCGCAGCGCTGGTCATCAAAGCCGCAGGTCATCATTGTTCCCACGGTGTCGTTCACCACCGCCATGATGTCAGCCTCGTAGTCCTGAAGTGAATAAACCGTCATACGGATGAGTTTTTCCCGGATAGCTGGGCCGATCCACTAGGAATGATAACGAGACTCACTCCTCGTTTTTCAATGGCTTTGCTGAGCAGCTGGACGACATCCGCCCCTTCCACACCACTGGCTTTGAAGCGTTTTGTCCATTTTATCAAATATCCCTGGGGAAAAAAATGAAAAAGAAACATTTCAGATTGGATGTCAAAACATATAATCTTCAACATCTGGTCTCAGCTGCGGCTTCAACACCTTTAACAGATGTTTACCTCGTCCAGTTTGGTCTGTCGGCAGGGGAAGGAGAAGGTAAAGCCAACTGGGAGTTTCTTGTCTTTGATGTCGTGTTTCTTCATGAAGTTTCCGAGACACTCCGCCACATGGTCGAACAGCTGGAGGAGAGGAGCAGAGGGACAACGTGAAGGGAGCGGAAGGGAAGCTGCGTTCGTGTTCCTGGTCTTTGAAATGAACTCACTCTCGTTCCGCTGCCGTGCATGATTTCGTCCGGCGTGTCGTAGACCTCACTCTCCATCTGAACGGTCTGCTTATTCCCGTAGCTCACTTTGACACGGAGGATCCGGAACTCACTGCCTCCCAGATCCAAAGCGATGAAATCTCCTTTCTCTGTCGATTCAGAGATGATGGAAAGACAAGAGACAATGAAAAGAGGAGGAGAGACAGAGAGAGAGAGAGAGAGGGATTACATTGCAGGAAATAAATGTACGGTTTTGCAAAACAGTCTTTTCAGGTTAAAACCACAAACCAAAAGTATATTTCTTCAAATTTAAATTGATAAGACAATACAATTTAGAAAATGATGCTTAGATTTCAAACTTCTATTTGAATTAAACTCTAAACTGTAACCTTTGACTGGCCCATTTAAACTTTGAGCTAAACCGGTTTATTCTGGTTCTAGTTGTGAGTTTGGTCCTGCTGGAAAGTCTTAAATCTTTTGGAGCCTTGAACAGGTTTTCTTGCAGAGCCGTCCTGTATTCATCATGCGAGCTGCAAACTTGTTATGCTAAATACGGGTCACTATGTGACAAACTGCCTGAGTCCAAAAAGTAAAGAAAGGCGTGTCTTATTAAAATATGTCTATTCTGCAATCAAAGTTATGCAACGCTTGTCAAAAAATAATGTGAAACAACAGAACAGGATCGGTCTGTGTTCTGTTGTAGGATCATTCTCCATTCAAGGCAGTTACTGAACATTCCTGTTTCTTCATGTACCAACATGCAGATGGGAGACTTGCAGCTTCAGACTATTCAGTACATCCTGGCAGTGGCGGAGCCAGAGGGGTGGCCGGGGTGGCACTTGTCACCCCCAACAGAGCCCTTGCCACCCCTACTGCCACCCCACTGGAAATGGTAATTTTAAAATATAATACTTATGAGATCGGCAAAGATTTGCCAGGAAAACTGTAATTTCTGACTGTCCCTGAAGGCAGCCCGATGCCCGACGCTGTTCATTGGTTAAACTGACATGTGGGTCCTGCTTGATCCAAAACACACCCGTGGCTTTAGAGTTACACCGTCGAGGAGTTTTGCAGGTATTTACAACATTTTACCGCTCAGCGGTAACCGCTGTTACCTTCCTAATGAGAGGCGGCTCTTGTCATACATTTCTAAAAAGAAAAAAAATGGTTGTGCACCGCTGCATAGTGCGTCGTTTATTATATTAGCCATGCTAGTGCTGATAGATCGTGTTTTAGACAGATTCTTTTAACATATGTTTTAGTGCACATGCTGCCCTCTAATGTTTCATATCTCCCAGCTCTTGCTTGAAATGTGTGTGGTAAGAATATGTGAAAAACCATTAAGTTTTATAATGACTGGAGCTATGTCATATGAAAGCTTTGAATTATAACCTCACTAGTTATATTAATTAATTTTGAACGAAAGGAAACAAATATTTTTTCCTTTCGTTCCGTGGAACGGTCCATTTGTATATGGACCCCTCTGATAAAGCCTTGCTCACCCTTTGGCCACCCCTTGAAAAAAAGTCTAGCTCCGCCACTGCATCCCGGATGTTCTGAACTCAGTGGTTAACATCACCAGAGGCTTCATAACCTCTGACATTAGATGACATTAATCATCTAGTCAACGAGGAGGATTTTCTCCTTTGCTACTTCAAAGTTTTTATTTTTACATCTGTTCATAAACAAGGCTGTGAAAAATAACATATAAAGCTCAAGAAAAAAGACAACAGCACTGAACCCCATTGAAAACATTCTGGTTGTTCCACCAAATACTGATTTCTGAACTCTTCCTGAGTTAAAACATTTGTATTGTTGTTGTTGTTTTTTTTTTTTTTTTTTTTTTGCATTATTTGAGGTCTGAAACACTGCATGTTTATTATTTTCACCATTTCTCATTTTCTGCAAATAAATACTAAATTTCTGCTTGGTATTTCAGATACAGCTGTGAGTGGTTCATAGAATAAAAGAACACTGTTCATTTTATTCAAAGCTATAAAGAGTATAATCAGAGACACTGATCATTTTAAGTGGTTTAAGAACTGTATATTTATGTTGGATTGTGTAAAATATACTGAAAGCTGTGAAGAGACGTTTTTACGTAATGTTTCAAATTAGACAAATCACATACATTTATTACATAGATAAGTCAACTTAAAATTGCTTTGATATTATTTCCTACTTCCCGTTTCAGTCCACTACTGTATGTTATACAGTACTGCTCTCATTACAATGACTCAATGCAAACGTCACTGGCATGACCTGATCCAAGGTATTGATCGTGAAACAGCTGAAAAATCTATCATGCCTGTGAGCAGGAATCACTTTGAATCAACAATCCAGATGAGAGCAAGGCAAGAACCCACTAATATTTCCAGTCTCTGTGGGAGATTACCAGGCTTTTATTAGCTTGATTCAGATCAAAACAACTAAAACATAAAGAGCAGGATTGAAATCTACCTGACTATTCTAGACACCAAAACATTTAGTTTTTAAGCCGGGCATTTAATTCTGAAAAGTAAACAAATGCAAGAAAGATTAGTCTGTGTAAAAATAGCAGCAGCATAATCCTGGCACGGACCCCAGGTATTTGCACGGATCGCGATTAATCTCAGATGAACTAACTCACCTGTTCCATCCGGGATGGAGCGAACAAACGTTGGGAGCATCTTCAGTGAGGCGGTGGCGTTGGAGTCGGTGCCCAGACCTTTGCTCAGCTCCGCTCTGAAGCGACTGGTGATGTCCAGCAGCGTCTCATCAGAGAAGCGCATGGCATACAGGTACTTATCAATCTGAAAACACACATCAGGAAAACATCATTACATCACTGGTCGTAATTAGAGATGCACCAAATTATCGGTGCCAATTTCCCTAATTTTGGGAAATCAGTGATGATTTTTACATGCGATGTCGATCTTAACCACCAATTTTATCTACTTGGCAAAGATACTTAAATCAACTGCTATGTTCTTCTGCTGGTGGGTCAGGTCAGTTATTATTTCTATCATGGAATCATCATTAAAAATCTGATAAATCATTTCAGCCCCATTGGTCTCAGATTTTAGTCAATGCACCAAATTTTGCAACATTATATAATGAGAGGAAAGTCCAGGATGTGTCAGTCATGTCAGCATGACCAAGAAGGGGATTCTCTATAGGTTGGACAAAAGTCAACAATCAGTAACAGAGAAAGCAATTCAAAAGCTAATCTGATTAGTAGTAGTCCAAACTCATCTGATAAAGAGCCATAAAGTAACTATCATGGTTTCCGGTAGCGTTAAAGCGCCACTGCTGGCTCCGCCCTCCCTGGTCATCACTGATCCTCGTCAGAGTCATCTGGACTTTTAGGGAACAGGATGTTGAACAACTCTGGTGAAATTCAGTTTTACTTCACACACTGCTATAAAGCAACAAACTTTATGTGATATGTGTGGTGAAGGAGAATCAGGATCATAAGAATCAGCATTCATCTCAGTTACAGTCGACGTGTGTGTGTACACTGTGGTATCCATTTGGTTTTATGTGGGGAAAAACACAGTCAAATGGAAATGTCGAAAGTTCCTGTTTCACAATTTACACATTTGCCATTTCCTGTAACACCACGCTCTTCAAGACAGCCTCTGAGGGCTGTGAATAGTTTACAGGAATTTCAATTTTATAGATCACAAAGCATTCAGCTGGCCATTAAAGGGCGAGGTCAGCCTTTCTGACTAACAGCTATAACAACCTGACAGAGAACTGAATAAAAACACACATTGATGACGATAACACTGCTTTATCTGAATAAAAACACTGGGATAAAAAAATATTTTTTGGAAGTTGTCCATGTTTTTTCAGCTGAATTAGGACTATTTTCCACTATTGAATCCAAAAATGACATCCACTTTTCTCAATCAGGTCAGACTTTTATTCTAATATGATTCAGAGAAATTGTACCTTCTAACTAAATTGATTACATTTTTGTGACATCATCAGTTCATTTCCGTTAATATTTCACATCCAGAAGAGGTTTTAGGAGAAAAAAAAAGGTTTCTAACAGAGTGTATTGACTAAATGTTAAGGGTAAGTACGTGTAAACTGAACATCACGTCTTGATTGTGCTACATTCTCCGTCTCTTTTCTGTCCTTATTGCGCCTCTCCCCTTGCTCATCATCCATTGATCCAAGATGCTCAGCAAACCGATCCAAATGTCAGAACAAGTCATGCGTTTTGACGCTCATGTTACATCCATAGTCCAGAAAGTTGACCTGATTGAGCAAAACCAATGTGATTTCTGGATGCAGCACATCAAAATTACCCTAAAACGGTTGAAAAACCCCAGACAGAGTAATGGATAAACACACAGGACATTTGAATTCAGTAAAAACTATTTCTCACTGCCAATTATACAGTAGGTGTTAAATAACTTATATATGCTTTAAATATGGTCATAAACACCTCTGACTTCTTCTTCAAACTGATAAAAAAAAACCAAGTCATACTGACTGTTGGAGTTAAATTAATGTGCTTAATGTAAATGTGCTGACGTGACTCCAATACTGTACCAGCACAGATTTATAGTTATAGAGTACATGACAATCTGTAGTGTTTAAGCAGAAGGAATCACATCTTGTTTCCGAAACAAAAGACATCCAGTTGCCACCATTATATTTCACTCTAGGCATATAAAAATTATCATCACATTTGATAAATTCCAGTTTTGATAAGTGGCAAGGAGAGGTTTAGCATTTAGCTTCAAAATGAACCAATAAGAGATTGACATTCAGATCACGTTAGTAGCTTTATTCTGACATTTCACACCTGCCATTGTGTCTTCTGACTAAGTTCATTACATTTTTGTGACATCAGTTCATTTCTGTTAATATTTCTAAATTGTCCCTGAAATTATAGTGATAAATGATAATATTGTTGTTTTGACAATATTAATTTAGTGATATAATTTACGGTATAATAATGCAGCTTTGCCATCTGAAAGAGCAATAAACTTGCAATGGGAAACATTTCAAATCTCCAAAATAAATAAAACAACCAAAAGCAGAAAGACAGAAATAAAACCCAAACACAACTGAACGCACAAATGAAACAAGTTATTTATTCTCTAAACAAAGTTGCCCTTTTAAAATATGAATCACCGCAAGGGAAATTGTAAAGCTTATTTCATTTATTTATCAAGCTTAGCTGCAAGTCAGCTCTTTGGTTGAACGTGTCAGATTATGATGCAGCAGATAATTATTACATTTTCTTAATATTTTTGATATTTAAAGTTACATTTCAAAACAGCAACCTCACTGCTGTGCTCTCCTGTTACACAAGTTATGTAGAATAATTAGGATGCATGATACATCAGTCTTAATTAATGTTGGTCACAGCCGATGCTGGTCTTTATTTAACATATTGGTAAATTATTGAACAGATAACATACTGGATACTTTATTTGAGATTACATTGTTTTTAAATAACTCTTCCGAAGTTGTGACTATTTCAACATAGCTGCTGTTCGTAAACGAGCCACTTAAGTTTGATGGTTGTGCTATTATAGTTGGCAACTGTTTATGCCAACCACTACAACTCCCATCACATCATAATAATTCAATAATGAAATCATTATTGCTGGCTACGACTGCTCTGAAACACACTGCACATGTTTCAGCGTGCTCAAACTGGATGATTATGATGTTCTTCTTATAAAAAAGCAGCGGTTTTAAACTCTGCTTTCAGTTAACTAACATTACGGGACTTTCTCTCAGCTAATCCTCTTGTTTAGAGGCTGCAGAATAACAATGTCCTCCACGGGGAAGCAGGGAAATAAGAAAGGCATCCTACTTGAACCAAAGTGTCCTCAGCTTCCCAAATTGATCTTTTATTACAGCAATGAGAAGTTATCAGTGCAAAAGTATCCAAAGTTTTGTTGTTGTCATATTTAAATGTTTCAGATCACCAAACATTTTTAAATGAATAAAATATAATCAGATTAAACACAAAATAGACCTTTCAAATGATTGACTGTTTGTTTTAGCCTGGCTAAAAACGTCAATTGGCTCTAATAACTGACAAGGTTTACAGATTTATAAAAAAAAATTCAATTTAATTCTGGGCTTTGACTGGACCACTCCAAAACCTTAAATTTTGAAGCCAATCAGGGTCGGGCTTGGTGGTGGGCTTCTGATAACTTTCCTACTGCACAACCAAAGAAGGTCTAATATTTTTCTTCAGGTTTTTCAAGTGGAGAGGAGAATTTATGGTTCCATCAATTACAGCAGGAAGAAGAGAAGCAGCCAGAGAACGACTCACCATCACCATGTTTTACTGTAGATATGGAGATGTTCTTCTAAAATACAATCACCTCATGGGATGAACACCTTCCAAAACATTTATAGCTAAAGTTTGTGGATCATAAAGATACTTTGTGACAAACTTTCCAGACCTTTAAAGTCAATCGCTTTGTTTCTCATCTGTTTTTGAATTTCTCTTGGTAGCAACACAATGAGTGTGTTTTTTTTTTTTTTAATCTTTCAGCCTACTTCAGGTTGTGAGACAGGACCTATTCCAGAGAAGGCAGATACATTTTCACATAATTAAAATGATAAAACTGCTGTTTGTATTACCTGAAGTTGCTGAAATTATGTGTTTATAAACATTTCAAACATTATAAAATGTTTGTAAAATGTATTTGCTAATCGGGAATAATTAAGCTCAAAAAAAGAAAGCATATTACTTTGTAGAGGCAGGAGTGATACGTTTCCACCAATCTGCTCCTGACTCAGGATGAACCGCAGCATTTCTGACTCAGCATTTTTTGCCAATGCATAAGCATGTTTTAAAGCACTGCATCATCTGATCCGACAAAGCTCCAGCAAATAGAGACTCAGAATAAATCTTGTGCTTGGAGGTGAAACTGCCTAGTTTTTCCTCTTTTGACATTCGCTGAGGTGAGACTGAATCTCCAAACAGTTTTTGGAAAGGTCACGCTTTTCCCTCAACTCACCTCTAACACAACTCAAGTTTGCTTTACAACTCCTCCTCCCAGTCCTTCCACCCATCCTCCATTCTGTTTGCATTCTTTTCCTTAACAAAGCCCCGTCCGCCTCCTTCACACACGGGGATTCAGGAAAACTCAATGCAGCTACGTAGAGTGTGTAGGTGCATGCGAACACACACAGCCTCACTATGTGGAAAAATACTGACCTCCACACTGCCCCCTTCTGTACGGTCCCTTATCCCAATTTAAGCGCGCACACGCACACACACACACACACACGCACACACACACATGCAGACATGGTGAGCCGCCGTTTCAGATGGGAACTAGCAGAGTATCAGGAAGTCAGACAAGGTCAGCGCAGCAGACTCAACATGAAGAACCTCAATATTCTAAATACTTTTAGAAAAATAAGACCGTTCAAACTTCAACTTTAACTCAATTTTGCAAAAGATGTTTAAGCAAAACATTTCCCAGTTTTAGTTTTTGAGCTGGAGAAGTTTTTTTTTAAAATCTTTTTGATAATTGAGGCCCAGATAAACTCCACGTTGGCAACACACCTGCCGATCGCTATGGCAGGCATAAGCCCTCTGCTGTCACCTGTGGTCACATGGTTCAAAGCTGGCCTATTTTAGGGAGGCAGAGAGAGGAAGAGAGCAGGAGTAAAGAAGGGAGGGAGACGTGATGTGTTAGATCAGGCTCCGGCTGCAGATGAGGGCTGTTTCGCCTCCACAGGGCAGGATCTGAGAAAGGCAGCCGCGAGGGCCGCCTTTCTCAAATATAGAGGTAAAAACAGACGTAGCATGTGCAAACTTTTTTTTTTTACGCATACAGAAAAAGAGAGAGACTATTGGTGACGTCATTCAGAAACCTTAAAGAGACAATGCGTGACTCAAAGGAGTCAGAGAAAGCAAAGTTTTGATGTAAAATCTGGCTAAAATAAGAATAAATATTAGTTTTATGCCTGGTTTTACGGGAACTCAGAGGGAGTATTAGATCTACAATAGCCTACATACACACACCCGTGCGCACACACGTCTACCATGCTGGAAAATCAGATAAAACTGGTCCAGTTAGTTTTTACCCAGCAAGTTATGCATAAAGGACTGACACTTAAAAGCAGCATCATTCATCATTCACAACATTCATGCATTATAGATGCACTGACTTTGAAGGAATGTTATCCATTGCCTCTCTTTGTTTTTTTTTTCTTTTGAAAAGAAAGCAACACAGATCTTATATCTGTGTGCAAAACTGAAACATTTCCCTAAATCAGCTCTAAGCAAAGACTAAAACAATTATCTGTTGTTTAAAAATATAAAAACTACAAGCTCCTACTTTTTTCAGGCACTGAATGCATCAGCACACTCTTTGGATCATGTTAAAAACTGATTGGGAGGTTTATTTCAATGTGAATGATCTGGTCACTTACTGTTGGATTCAAGCAAACAGAAAGTAAACCCACTGGTATTTATCAAGTCTTAAAGTACAAATACCCACCACAGATGGTGGATTAATTGTATAAAAATGTACAGAGTAGTGGATATTTACAAACACCCCAACAACCCAGAATGAATTTATTTTCTATGTCTGACCCTGATGAAGGCCACAAGCCAAAACACGTTGATCTGCAAATAAAGTTGTTTCCTAGTATTTCGAGTGTTGGCTTCACTTCATCAGATCTGTGCTAAATCGCAAATATGGAGCAGATTTCAAAGATTACAAAGACGGGATACCTGTGAGGTTATTTGAGTTTTTATTCCAGGTGCAACACGTTCAAATTGCTGTTATTTCTGACAGGACTCTTATTGAGATGCTCAGACATGGTATACATTTTAGTGATGGAGACGCTGTAGCTAATGAGAATGGTGGAAATATAAAAAAAGTGAGGGAAATATGGGTCAATAGCAGATATCATAATTGAACTATTAAATATTCTACAGGTGGAAGCACATGTTGATGTTGCACCTAGTAGTCCATGAAATTGCTAGAAATCTGCCCTTCATCTGGCAGACGCTGACATCAATCAAATCCAAACGAGCAACTTTATATAAAACAAAGCAAACTTATAGCAATTAAACTGTATTTCTTGTGCCCGTGAATGCCATTTGTTTTTGTTTTTTAAACGGCTTTAAACTTACGATGTAAACAGGAATTTATGTTCTAATTTTCCTCTTTTTTTAAAATTCAAACCCATCTATCAGGAGCTTATATTTTCAGTAATTTGTGTACAGAGATAATAAAGTATGCATTTGTAACAGTGTAAATGATTGTTTTCCTAATATTGAGGACCCTTGGTGAGGAAAACCTCCAATAAAACTAAGCAAATTTGAGTCAGTTGTGACAAACAGCATCAATGCAGGAGCCAATAATATCACAAGGTCATGTTCAGCTCTATGAATACGTATTTGTGTGTTATTGGGCTGGACAATAAATCAATATTGCGATAGACACGTGATCAATATGAATCGATAATACATCAGATAGAATATTCAATACATAGAATATTCCGATTCAGAACCGCACAGCATTCTGGGAGATGTAGGCAGAGGGAAAACCAGCCGCTCAACCTCTTGCGCCCAGCTAAGCAAGGTTGGTGGAATCAACTAATTCACTCACTCTTTTGTTACCTAGCAACAACCTAACAACTCCCCAGGTTGTTACTTAGCAACAACATGAGGAGTAACTTGCGCAGCAGCAGTTTAAGGTTTTACCACCGTCACTCATATCTGCTTAAAAACAAAACCAGAAAGATCAAGCCACCGGTTTGGCAGTATTTCAGTTATTCAATGCAAACAACTAATCTATAATTATTGATATTAAACTGGCTAAAATCAGCATGAGCAGGTTGGACCCAAAAGGCAACAGCACGTCGGCATCAGCCGGTAAAAGTTTGATCTGTTCACACACACGACCCGGAGAACAGATCTGGATCTGAATCCCTTCCATCTCAACGGGTGAACAAAAGAAACTCGCCGACCCTGAAACGGTGAGCTGCCTCCTCATCCTTGAGCTCTGCTCTCCAGGTCACTCACTTCCTGCTCCTTGATGTAAAGCTGGGAGCCACACCTCCCAGCTTTACATCACGGCTTCAGTCATGTGTGCCACCCAAACAGTGCGGTTCGTCACGTCTCGCCGGGCCACGTTGGGGATGCAAATGATCTCCAACGGTCGGGAGGGTTTTCACCAACTTTTCAGTCGGTGTTCCCTGATTGAGCCCCGCATTTCAAAGCAGTGCTGATGTGTAGAGGCAAGATGGACACGTGTGTGTGTGTGTGTTCTCCTCCCAGCATCCATCGGACTAACACTAAGAATGAATGATTGAGAAACAGACTCACCTTTTTAGCTTTGTCATCCTTCAGCTCTGTGAAGAAGTAGGCTAGTAACTGAGCGGCGATCATCCTGCGGCTTTTTCCTTCTCAAACACTCATACAGACCAACTCAGAGACTCCTGTCTCCGCTTCCTACCCAAAACCCACGCAAGTAAATTTAAACAAAAACTATTTTGAAAGACCTAACTAAACTTCGGTTTCGAGTTCTATTTCCCAGCGCGGAAGATTTGAGGACAAATCCCGACTCCAGTCCGTTGTGGCTCTAAAGCAGCCGGACACTTTTCGAGCTCCTCTGTGTGAGAAAGATGAAGCCAGGAAACACGAGTGAGGCAGAAAGTTGAGGCTGAAGCAGGAAGGGCCACGCAGAGCGCAGAGACGGCCCACTTTCTCTAAGCTCATTTGGTTTGTGCCGCGGATGACTCCGGTGGGGAGGTTGGGGGGAGGGGGGCGGTGCTGCGGCCTCAGCTCTGCGCTCTGATTGGCTGCTGAGGCGGACTCAAGTGATGGAGGAGGAAGGAGGAGGAACAGAGGAAGGTCAGGAGGAAAGTTTAGTTTCCAGGAAGCTACATTCTGGTTAGCATGTTGTAGTACGACAATGAATCACCACGTACTGCCGTATATTACCAGAAGCGGCGTGTAATTCTTTAGTTATTCAACAGCAGGATGTGAGGAAGTGAGGGGGAAACTTTAGCTCCCTGCTCATTTACTCTTTGAGTTCCAGTCAAGGTCAAAAAAGGAAGAGATAAAGTTTTCTTGATAGCTTCACTGCTGTTTGGGAACAAAGATGCTGATTTAGAGCAGTTTATGCGTTTCCCTGTTTTAGGAGATACAAAGTTCAGATGAGGCTTTGTGATATTCAGAAGGCCACTTCAGCAAAAAAAAAAAAAAAAAAAAACACAAAAAAACCAATCTGATTACTAAATCTTTCCCTCAAACAGCGCAAGGGGCTGGAGAAATCAATTTAGGACTGTATTAATGGGGTTTTAACTACCCATGTGCTTCTGTACCCACTGACTTTCAATTCAGTCTTATGAAACGATAACGTCAAGTTGATTTTAATTTGTAAACTTTGAATAAGCATGTTGGGTCAGAGGTCAGTTCTTTGCATTGAGTTGTTAACTTTGCAGCAATCTCCCAAACTCAGCATGCACATGGTGACAATAAAACACTTGTCACTTGTCAAATAAATAACATTGTGTGATTGCAGTTTATTTCTTTTATTTCCTAACAGCTTGACTTTTGTTCTGTATCAATCTGCTGATGGTCTGATTTATAATTTATGATTTGGTTTGTGTGTGTACGACTGCCATTTTGGTTTTCTGTTTACACAACAGCTGTTGGCAAAACATTATTGATGGGTGTTTTTATTGCTTTTCTCTTCAGCATGAATGCAGAATGGCCAAAAGAGGAGCACTTACCTGTGCCTGCAGGTGTTTTAAAGCACCTGCTTTCTACAAGGGAACACTGTGGGGTCAGAGTGACTCAGCACTTCATATATGGCCACTTTCAGGCTCCACAGTCCTCTGAGATAGACACTACATCACCTTCCAAACAAGGACTGTCTGTTCTCTGGACGCCCTTCGTAACAAAGGAAAACCAGTGCTTTCCTCGTAATGGGGCTGCAGAGCGACGTCCATTCAATCCTGACATTCCCCACACAGCAGTTTGGTTCAGGCTTTGCTTGAAGTTTTTATTATAAAATCAATGCAAAGGTGTGACTGTGCATCAAAAATGCCAAGAATTGTTTGAGAAAGCCAGTTCCCTGAAATAAAATTCTTCCACATTTTCTTGCACTTTGAGTGTAACGTCTACCTACTACATGTCAGAGACTTGTATTTTCTGCTGCACTAATTAAAACTCTCCCTGCCAGCCTGTCTGGGCTTGTTATCCTAATGCAGAAAGTGAAAAGCAGTGATGCAGCTTCTGCAATCTTTGCGTTCTGAAAAGAATCGTCTGACCAATGATCACATTTTTGTGGATCTTACCATTGATCCAAACACCTTCAGCTTGAAAGAAATGTCGCAACACAAGCGTAAAGGAGCCTTTTGGGGAAATCCTCAAAAATTTTACATTTTTGTTTCTTTGTATTTACTTGAAAGGTTGAAAAACTATTTGTAAAGAAAGGGAACAGAACAGAACCATCTTTTGGAGTGTTGTTGGGGTTGAAAGAAGTGCTTTGATTCCCAATATCCTTACAGAATATAAATAGGACTAATATGAACTAGAATTTCACTTCAACAGCTTTTGATGTTAGATTAAATAACAAAGCCAAAGTGCAGTCCTGATTGTGTTTTCAGCTTCCCCGTGTTAAATTTTTCTCTTTCAAATTTTATTTAAACATGCTTTTTTATTTTGGTAACGGAAATCATGAATACAACTATTGTGAGCTGCAAGCCTATGCAAAACAGAAAATTGAATAAAACGTTGAAAACCTTGTTTTAGGAAAATCAAACTCTTTACAAGCATCTTTCCAGCACCGACTAAACAAATGGAAACTTTTCTGACTTTTTTGAGACGCTACTTTAAAGTCAGAAATGAAAAAAAAAAAAACAAGCCAAAAACTGGAAAAGTAACATTCCACACACTTTTGCTTTAAAAATTCATCCTCTTCAGTATGGTGACAAACTTTGTTCATTTTGCATACCTTCTTTGAGAAGTTTTCCATGATCCAGCTGTCCAATGTCTCACTCTTTCAATGCCCACTCCATCGAGGGATCTAACTCAAGACTTCAGGCTCATTTTATAAAAGAACCAAAGTATTCTGCTATATAAATGAAAGCACTACATCCATTTCATGACCCAGGGGAACCAGGGTCTGCCTCTCTGCTGGAAACCATATCTGTTTGGATGTGCATGTGTGACAGACAGTGAATGTGTGTCAAAGCTCTTATTGTTGGTTTGAATAGGAGGCAAAGACACATGCACACATTCTTCTGCACACAGAGGGACTCGGACACCTTGCTCCCTTAGGAATGCCCAATCAGATTGAAAGAAAGAGATCTTAAAGCTGGAGGTGAAATATTTTTGGGATGAGGGGGGTAATGTTCAGAGTGTGGGGGTTCTGCAGGAGCTCTGGTTGCAGTATAACTGCAGCGTTATTCCGTGTGTGATTCAGCAGGGAGGTACTAGGTCAGGACAGTGAGGGATTACCAGGTGTGACGTCGCCCTCATCTGGTAGCACTCTAACATTTTAATCCCTAGCAGATTAACCACTGTTGCTTTTCAGTCTGACATTTCTTGCTTTGTCCTTCCTCGCTATCTGTATTTTGGTGCAGAGGATTTTCTTTAGTTTCTAGTCAAACACACACTCTTATCTTCAAAAAACTGTTAATCTGTCACTGGTTTGAGCAGATTAGGACACAAACATAGTATCATCATGTCTTTATACTTAGATCATAACACAGCATGTAAACACAATAAATATTAAGACGCACCTTGTTCAGTAGTACTGTAATAAAATGGACGAAATTGTGTGCATTTTCAGATTATTACATGCATTGACAGACAAACCAATGGTCACACGGTCTGAGAATCAGCCAAAAAAAGCTGAACAGAGCGTTTGTTGTTATTGTTGAGAAATCTGGCCGGCAGGATTCCTTTCCTCCTCCTGGTCTACATCAGTGGCGACATACCGCTGACTAAACCCCCACACGTTCACAAACACACAGTGACATAACCATGACTTTAGTTCAGTTACACAAGTTTTATTATTTTTTCAGATTTACTCTCACTATTTTTATGTTTATGTCATCATAAGAGGAGCCAAATGTAAACTTAAGTTGCAATATTTAATTTTATGGAGACTTTTTGAGGCCAAAAGTACTAATAGTTACTGTAATTAGTTTTTTTAAACATATAAAGGGAAATATTGACAATTAAGCATCTTAGTGTAGGATTGTCCATTCAGCTTCCGAACAGCTTACTTATTAATTGTAATTCACTACCTGTTTCTAACATTAATGAAAAACTGAGTCTCAAACCAAGAACTGAGGATTCAAAATAATTAATTTTTAATATCCAGACTCCAGGCAAAATGTTAAATAATACACCACCTTTAAGGAATCACAGCTCAATGTAAGAAACTTTTTATGCTATAAAAGGAAATCTGTTCACATGTTCTTGTTCTCACAGGACATAGAACAGAATAAAACACACTTTATAGATCTCCCACAGAAAATTGCTTATTACTGATGAGCTACTCCATCAAAGGTGTTAAATAGTAATAAAATAAATGTAACCATAAGAGTTTATAAGTACATATCACCTAAGAGAGATGTAATTCATCTAACCATTTGCTAACCATAAACGGTATGCGACTGTTTGTGTGTACTCCTCTTTCTAAAACCCAACATATCAGGAAAACTGAGAGTCTAATCAGTGCAGAGCTAACGGAGACATGTGGTCGCACAGCTGCAGCGTTCACACATTTCCCCACAGCGCTCTGATAATTAGACTGGAGAGCTCTGCTTGGAGGAACAGAACAGCCAATTCTTATATTTACAGCAATGCTAGCAAAAGACAACTATTTAGTCAAGTCAAATCCAACAAATGTAATTTTGTTGGAATGAAACCAACACAAGAGAAGTAGATAACTATGAAGAGAAGGAGAATGATACATGGTTCTTCTTTAGTTTTACAACAAAATATCTGAAAACTATGCTTTGTCTATATATTTAATATTCCATAATCAGATAATCCTGAATAAAATCTTCTGACTCCTTTAATAAGTAATAAAATTAAATAACATGCAAATAGAGGTGCAAGAGAAGGTTAAAAACCAAAACATTACAAGGGCCTTAAACATACCCGATATCGAAATCCATTTGAAAAATTTTGCAAGATTTAAAAACTGATCTTTATATTCATAGTCCGCCAATTGTTACTTTGAATAATTCAGATTTCTTTCTGAGAAACCTTTGAAAACAATGTGTCCTTTTCCTTCCACTTCTCCATGATTCACTACTTTCTGAATTTCTAAGTCCTAATCATTTAGAAATGTGACAAGAAATGAAAAACGTAAAAAACGTGATCACTGCATGTGTTTCTTACAAACAAACCTCACGTTGAACCATAAAAAGAGAAGAGAAACAGTTTTCACAAGTTGGAGGAAAAGCAAATTAACCTGTAGCAAGACATGCTGACTATTTACTGTAAATAATAAAAGTTACCAGACAGTCACTCTTATACGTAAAAATAGTTCTCTTAACATTGAAAGTTATTTGCACTTTTTCTTTCTTCTGTGTTGTTTCTGGGGATGTGTTATTATTGCCTGTCCTGCACAGTCAGATCTCCTGTTTCTGTCGGACCACGGCTGCAATGAGGGCGGCGCCTTTCCCGCTGCCCTCCTCTGACGGCAGGAAGGTCACATCGCAGTGGGGAGCCATGACCCCCACTGTCTCCTTTAGGACCTGTGAGAAACTACAA